TAGCATCTGATAAAATCTAATAAAGCGAATTCTGTACATGAACTTCACTCAAAAAGATTGGGTACTTTTACATTTTAATTTTAACTAAATTTTGTGTACCAACGCCTAAATACTCGGGTCAACATTTGGCATATCTTTTGCTACAGGAAAATATTTCATTCCCACGGGAAAACACAATAACTGGATAGGCCGAGTTGTTCTTTACACAAAAATTTCAATGATTTATTATATAAAAATTAAAAACCATGAGTTCGGTGAAATCTTTGATTTTTATGGGAAAATGCAAAAAAATTTTAAGCGCATGTATATAATATATACATACCTATATCTACGAGTATACATAATATATCTTTATAAAATAAAGTCGCTGCCTGTCTCTATCTTCTTTTCCGCTAAATAGAAAAGAATTGTATAAAATTCAACAAATAGCATTGTGTGTGACCAAGTTATTTTTATCATAGATAACGACAATTGAGCGTCAATCTATAGTCCGCAAGCAGTGCCAAACCTGAACAAGGCGTGTCACTTTTCTTCAAAATTATGATATATTTTATTAATCACGGCTTCGCCTGCTTTAAATTTTTTTATCAGAATAAATGATATCCTATATGTTAGCCCAAGATATGATCTATCGAGCGGTGAGGCAGCCCACCTTGGTGAGAATCGGGAGATGTACCATGCGGGTTACGTCTGGTTCTTTTCTGATAGCAGAGTGGACCGTGAAAGCAAATCCCTGTTTGTTATGGTCTGCCCCGGTAGACCAGCTGTCGACGCGTCGTGATCGAGTTCATAATATAATATGATCCTGCGGCTTTTCATTAAGACGGGTAAAGTTCCGTTGGATTCTACTTGGAAATGGTAGTACAGGTTTTTCCAGCCCTGTTGTGGTGGTTTGCGTGAAGGTATTTCCCAACATTAATAAAAAAAGAAATGATCTAGAAAATGTGCGAGGAGTTTTATCCAAATCCATTTGACGGCTTACGACACATTCTACGAAAAAGTAAAAAAGATAGTATTGAGATCATTAATGTACGTAGTGCCTCGGTGGTGTAGTGGCTAGCATGTACGGCTGCACACCCGGAGGTCCTGGGTTCGAGTCCCGGGGCGGGCCAAGTTTAGTTATTGAGTCTTCCTGTATAGTAAGTCTCAGTAACAGCCCGGAGTTGGGAAGTTGGCTGTGTTTCACCCCCGTGCCTCGGAGAGCACGTAAAGCCGTCGGTCCTGCGCCTTAACTCTCACCGGTCGTGTCGAGTGGTCGTCCCACCGGAGTATGAGAGTGATAGGAATAGAGAGTGCACTTGTGTCTGCGCGTACACTTGAGCACTATAATATCTCCTGCGCAGTTGGCTAATTTCATTGAGATTGGCCGCCGTGGCCGGAATCGGCTAGGAGAACATCATCATCATCATCAATGTACGTAGATATTGTTAAGGTACCTAAACATTTTAAGGTTTATATAAATAACAGTACATAAAAAATACTGTACGTTTTTTGGGGTTTCCGTACCTCAAAAGGTAAAAAAAGAAATCCTTATAAGATCACTCTTTTGTTCGTTTGTCTATCTGTCAGTCTGTCTGTCCGTGTGTCACCACCGATTTTCTCAGGAACTGGTGGACCAAGCAAGTTGAAATTTATACCAGATACTGAGGTCTATAATTCCTATTAGGCATATAAAAATTAAGGTCATGAGTCAACACGGTAAAAAGATTATTATGGGCAATTTTAGATTTTCGCGAAAACTTGTAAGTACCAAAATTTACCTTAATTTTCAACTTTTTTTATTTTTCGGAATTTTTCCTTCACTTGTGCTGTAAGACCTTGCTTTTAACCAATATTGACCATTTTAGGTCGACCGGAAGTACCCTATAGGTTTTGGTTAGAAAACCTATAGGTATGGTAGTTCCCGTTAACCTAGAATCACGAAATTTGACAAAAAGCAAGATCTTACAGCACAAACAAAGAAAGAAATCCAAAAAATACAAAAACATTGAAAATTAAAGTTTAACAGATTTCCTACTTTGTAATTCATTTGGTAATGTTTTTACCTAGAATTTTTAGTACATATATTAAATTATGATTCTACGTTATTTGAATACATTTATTCGAATTTAATGAATAATGAGTTGCAACCAAATGCATACGACACGTAATTAATAATTAACAATAAAAAATAAAAATCGATTTTATGCCCCAAATAATTCGTCGTGTGTACTCATTTAGGGCTCATGACGTGTTGCTCTAGCAAAATTATATCTAACATTAATGATAATATTTCTGTATAGATAAAAATTAATATGATAGTAATATTATGCGTGACTTTAATATTCAACATTTTACAATTTTATAATGTCAAGAAAACTTACCACTAGCGCACGATTATGAATTCGTACTTAAAAGTTATTCTGAAGAAGAGAGACTATAGATCAATAGTCGGGTTGGAACAATCTAGAATCTTTATTGATTCGGGTGACGACTCATCCATGACGGCGGGACCACGTGATACAATATCAAGGGGTTTATATTTTATACTACTGATATGTAATAGGTATATATAATGATGTCAGCACAAAAGGCGTCATATGGTGTATTTGTACCAAATACGTATATATTATCGTAAGTTTATAGTCAAAACAGAGATTACTTAAATGTTAAAGGTGTAATGTCTATTGATTTCCGTACATTATCACATGTTATCATTGTAATCTAAATAAATTGGAAAAAAAAACTTGTACATATAACCTTCAAAACACATTTATGTATAACATAATCAAGTAATTTTTATCAATTACATCAAGTCGGCGCACAATAGTGCTTCTTAGCTACATGCATTCTTGACGAATTTGGAACAAACTCTACTAATATTGATTATGTATCTTAAATTGTATACAAACATTAGCACCCGTGGGAAGGAGATAATCTCCTGCGATATGCCAGCCCTTATGCTATCTCCACACAAAAATCCACATCCTTCAATGTTTTGATGTGAAAGAAGGACAAAATTAACACACGATCACATTTATAAAGTGTATACCTATATAATATATGGATATTCATTATATCATTATTATTCTGATATTCTTCATTCTTTAGTAAAATTTGAAATCATAATATAAACAATAATTATTTGGACAAGTCAACCTATATTATAAATCTACTAAATTAATGAAATTGATTGGCTACATATTACTAGGTATTTTCTTTATGATTTTTCCAAATGGCCCGTTAAAGTAAAATTGTTATTTATTTATGTAAAAATATCACTTTATATATTTACATATATTTACTAAAATTAAAGTTAATTAAAGTTTAATGAAAAGTCTAAAAATTGTAATAGTTACCTGGGTATAGCACCTTTTCAGTCATGCCGATGGGTCTAATGTGTTATCCATTGAACCCTGTAAATAAATAAAGCTACTTAATGTTACACATAAATGTATTAATATTCATTACATAAATACATAGTTATTATTAGGTATTTTCTTACAATTTAATATAGTTCAATCATTTATTTGTAACAATACATTCTTTTAAATTATTTGTGGAATATGGTATAGTATTAAATTAAAGGAATTATCAAACCTTTGACATTTAGTGTTCATAAGAAGCTAATATAACCAGTTGGATTATTTTTTATTTATGAAATAAACTTTATGAATTCAAATTATATACAATTTTTTTATAATAATGAATATAATTATTAGCACAATAACCAAAATTGAAAATACTAAAATAAATATTTGTGTATGTATAAACAAGTTTTTTTATTTATTAATACTATTTAAAATAAAATGCTGTACTATGTAAATTTAAACATTTGTCCTTACCAATTAATAAATAATAATTTACTTATGTACATAATATTGTTTATAATATACAAGTTCTAACAAAGTAAAAAATACTAGTGTATTTATTAACAATAATTATAGTATATTTGTAAACAAAAGATACATAGTGACTAGAGTGAATTCAACTAATTGTAAGTACTAATTTGTCTCCATTACAAGAAAAAAGTAATACTGACGTGGAGTCTTCAAAATTTGTTTATAATAAAATGAATATGAGGAAGAATCTGTCAGAAGAATGTACAGAAAGTTAGCACTTATTAGAATCTTTAATAAATGATAGTGTACTTTCACCATTTCAAAAAAATATCATTTTTTAGCAAGAGGAAACTTTAAAACTACATATTGAATTAGCAGACTTCGAAACGCATAATAAATAAGCATGTCATTAAGTTATTTTAAAATAAAACACTTAACCTTTTTATATAGATATAACATCCAAATAAAAGAGCGGTCACTTTTAAACACTTCTGTAATTGTTCGAAATACAAGAATTCAAATCACAATTTGATTACAGTATTTAACCCACGAACATATAAAATGTCACTGCAATAAGTGCGAAAATGGCGACGCATAAATTTTATTGTAAACAACAATAGTTTTCAAATTACACTAAAAATATATATTATATATTTACTAACGAGAAAGTATTGATTTTTTTAAAAGTAAAAATAGCAATATAACACATATATCATAAAAAACAAACTTCATTTGTTTATCTAATAAGTAATAAAAACTGCAAATCAAAATTTGCAACGATAGCACAGATGCACACAAATTACCAAATGACAGGTTCTGTGCTCACTACTCGTGAAACAAAGACAAGGAATGTTTAAAGTCTGCTTTTTATTAAAAAAAATTCAAGTTTATGTAAGAAATTCATATTTGATATTAAAATAAGAATATTAAATCCATAATAATAAAAGAAATTAATTTGTTTCTTACCAAAACGATTTGATCTGATTTTCTAATATTTTATGCGTAGAATGAAGTAGCTCTATGATCTATCTTTTTAGTTTGTCTATGTCTAGTTATGTCTTTTTTCTAATGTCAATCTCAATTGTAAATTTGTGATGTAGTTGGAATTATTTGTTTGATGTTTAATAAATTAGAAGATTATGAGTACTCTTTTGTGGAAAAAAATATACAGAAGATAAAATGTCTTTCATAAATGAACCAGTGTTGAATATAATAGTTGTAGGCTTCCACCATAAGAAAGGTTGTCAGGTAGGCGTCATTACTTAAATCAATACGGTTGTTGTATGTTTAGTGAAAAGCTAGAATTATAAGAGTTCATATTTGTGTTCAAAAATTATTACATGGTGAGTACATATTGAAATTGTAAGAAATAGCAATTTATTTACAGGTGGAACATTGTTACCCTGAGCTAGTGCCAGGTCGCCCATCAGAACTACCACCAGCTTGGCGCTATCTTCCAGCTCTAGCCCTGCCAGATGGATCACACAACTACCTATCTGATACAATATATTTTACTCTACCAGGTTTGACTGAACCTGCTCATACAGTGTATGGTATATCATGTTTTCGCCAAATACCTTTAGAGGTTAGTAATTCCTGAATAATGAAGCTTTTGATTGATATTGTGTTCATATTATCGTATTTGCATCATTACATGTCTATTTTATTAATAATCATCATTTTCTTTTTATAGCAAGTGACTCAAAAAACTGAGGATATGACTCGTAGCTCTGTTCAGAAGAGTGTTTGTATAATATGTTGTGTGCCTCTTTTTGGCCGTCTTGCTGTCAAAATGGAATTAGTTGTGAGAGCATGGTTCCTACAGGGCGATTTCTCTCAAACAAAGCTACTTGAAGATGCTTTTAAACATCTTAATAGTTGTCCTATACAAATAGACCAAGCTCTGGAAGGTATATTATTAAAATTGTTTGTCGATCTTTGAGTTTTTTACAACTAATGACATATGTAGATATAACTAATTGTTTCAACTTTATTTATAGGATTGTCAATTACAAAGTTAGTAGAAAATTGGAGGCATAAGGCTTTATTGCTTTTTAAACTATTACTATTGAGGCGAAAAGTTGTTATTTATGGATCACCTGTTGGGGCTCTATCAGGAACTTTGTTAACTCTTATATCACTATTACCACGTTGCCTAGAGTATGGCTTGTCACAATCTGCAAATGTTGTGTAAGTTGTTTACGTAATGGTTTTTGGGTTTTTTATAACGGCATATGAGTTGAGAGAAATGAGGTAGTTTGTCTTGTCCTAGCATTTTGTATTTGGATCTATCATTGAGTGAATTAAACGTTCAACAATATGTTATAATAAGAATTTCTGAATCTTTTAAGGACAACTTAATATGGTATGGCAGTGAGGATCATATTTGACTTATATGGTCAATTATGTAATCTCTCACTTTTGATTTCTCAACAATCAGATTTCTTTTGGTGCAGTTACTTAAGCTTTAATTAAATTTAATTTAAAGCAAATTGTTAGTAATTAGGATTTTAGCTTACTGAATAATTAATCATCTTTATTTTCAAAATCCAAAAAAACAAAAGGAAAGGGATACACTCTTCATCACAGAGATTTTTTAAGCTGTATATTTTCTTAACAAATAGCATACTGTCATCGATCATCCTATAAAATAATATAAAACTCGACTCACATGCCATTAAACTAAATAATAGCCTTACTGATTAATTTGAAACTCCAAATTGAAATTTACTGTCTTAATATTGTCTTTTTTAGTCTATCAAGGCCATTGTCACCTATCCCTTCAGTTCTTCCAGAAAAAATAGAAATTGTTGATACAAATACAACCATAGTTAATGGAACAAGTCAATTAGATGAGGAATTATCTCCTAAAGAAAGTGGAAATATGTTGGAGGAAAAGGATAGAGTGAGTAGACAAAGTTTTGATGAGTCTCTATTGTCAGATGTGGTTGACAGGCAGGATCTGTCCTCTGGCAGAGAGAAATGTCACAGTATTGGTGAAAAATATAAGTCACAGAAACCAGTGTCAGAGGCTCAGCAAAGCCCTACCATGGCGAGGGACATGAGTGTCGATGGCCTTTATAACTTGACTGGTCAGATAGATCAAACAGAGTGTGGATTTCCATTGCCACTCTTTGAAGATGGATATATTTGCTTACCATACCTGTCTCTGCAGTACTTAGACCTGCTCTCTGATGCAGCTGTTAAGGGTTTTGTTGTTGGAGCTTCTAATGTACTTTTTAAACAAAAGAGGCAGCTGTTTGATGTGTTAGTGGAGCTCAATGAGATGAGGATAGAGACAGCTGACTTGGGTTTGAGGAGACAGCTCACTCTTAGTACGGAAGATCTTAGGTTTGCTGATCATGTAGTTCGTCATGCCTCCTCACAGGGTGACACCTGGATACGGGACCAATTTGCTAGTTACTTAATTTATTTATTGAGAACATCATTACTTCCAGGTACATATTTTATTGTTCCAATAACTTAAGACTACAACTACTAACTAAATATTAGAAGTATGTCATAGGATTTATTGAATTGTAAATATGTACACAGTTGCCTAAAATTTATTAAATATGTATACCTAAAAAAATAGATTTTCCCATTCTATGCCTGGCTTGTGCATTTCTTATCATGTTAAAATTGATATTAGAGAAAAAAATATTAGTTTTAGTAATAAATATACACAAGCATGCAATGCATGCTTAGTCGTTGTATATTTTGAAAAAATATTTATACTATAACATTAAGTTGTATACAGTTTTTTTAATTAAAATAATGAGATTGAATTTTATTATAGAAGGAAGTCGGGAGATCGAATCTTACAATGCGCAGTTCATGGCGGCATTCAAATCGACACCCGCCTATGATAAGTGGTTAAAAACTACAAACAATGCGGACATTGAGTCTTTCATGAACCTAACGCCGATGCATCCGTTTTCTGGTCAATTATCTGTAGCTGATATGAAGTTAAAATTGGCACAGTAAGTTTGATTTTTTTAATAGTGAAAGTTTACGATTTTCTGATAAATTATTAAATAAAATGGTTTAATTCCTTATGATATATCCTTTATACTCGACTAGTTTTTGTTGCGATTTCTTCTGTGTTATTTTAAATCCATCTAGTGATAATTTGAAGACTAAAATAATATTAGTCTTATTTTTATAAGAGATTGCTCAGTTTATGGTCTACTAGTGACTCACCCTCGCTCCATTTGGGTTGTCCCCATGTTACAATGTTAGTATTGATTTCTCAGATATATTTTCCCGCAGTAAAAAGTATACTAAATGTTGACCCGGTAAACCAGCTATAATCATACTAAATTTCATAATGATTTCTTAGTACTATTTTCTATTATCTATCTTATTCTATTAATCTTATAAAACCTTAGTCTCTCCCGTGACCATGATTCCTGTAAAGCGTTCAAAACGTTGGGAACCAAAAATCAAAATAAATCCGCGAAAAAATCCGAAAAGATAGTTTTATTTACAACTAGCATTGCCCGCGGCTCCGCCCGCGTTCAGATGACCAAAAACTAAATTCTTAGGTGTTACATATTAGTATACTCTTACATTGCAGTTTTTGTATTTTTCCTCAGAAATAAGATATTTTCCCGCGGTAAAAAGTATCCTAGGATCGCGCGCTACATCGCCCGGTTTATATAGCTTGAGCAGGCGGTCGAGCGATGCGGGGCAGAGGGGATGGACTCGCCGTAGGCATCTCAATGCTCGCCAAGCATTAAAAATGTTTCGCTACTAATTACTTCTAACAACGATATCTCAAAAACTATTCATCTGATTGATTTAGTGTAAAGAGCAATTTTAATCTGCATTAAATGACTAAGCTAACTAAAATATTCATTTGGATAAGGATTAATACCGAACTAAAGAAAATAACTTTGAAAATAACGTAATGTTTTTAATTAAAAATGTTAACATAAAAGTGGTTATTGTAAGTCAACCGTAAGAGATAGAGATATGCTATCGCGGACTTTTTTGTAGCATTTTTATAGATTTTGAATTCTCTAGTACATTACTTAACTGTATCTTTGCTAGTTTACGCGGCGTTCGCGTGGAAAGTTCCCATTTGGCGAGATTTTTTGCGACCTCTTCAACATTTGTCGCCGTATTTCAGCTAATTTACATAAAAGCATAATAAATTATATACCTAAACCTTCCTCAAGAATTACTCTTTCTATTGTTGAAAACCGTATAAAAATCCGTTCAGTAGTTTTCGAGTTTATCGCGTACAGACAGACAGGAGGACAGACAGGAGGACAGAAAGACGCGGCCGGGGGACTTATTTTTATAATAAGTATAGATAGATACCAAATTTCATCAAAATCTGTCCAGTGGTTTTCTCGTGACACGTTCCCAGACAGACAAAACTATAGATTCGGTCTCTGTAACGATACTAATGACTCTTTTAATAAGATTTTCCAAAACAATATTTAATGTACCTACAAATTCGACTCAGTTATTTTATGATATGTATAGATTATATGTATAGATATGTTTATTAAATTTATGCCAAACATATTATCTCACTTTTATTCATTTAAATTATGTAACTAGGATTTTCAGGAAAGAACCTATATTAGTTTTTGTCTGTGACACTAATTTTGGAATATTATGTTCCAAATTGGACTCAAAACCTGTTGAGTTACATCGTAAAAAAATTACAATCACACTCACTCATTCAGAAACTTTTGCATTTATCAATTACTAGCGACTCCCCCTCGTTTCGCTTGGGGTTCGTCCCTAGACAAAAACAAATTATTTCACAGGAACCGTACATTATTTTTTTTTATACTATTCTGAATTAGTGCTTGACTACGCTCCACCTGATGGTAAGTGGTAACGCAGTCGTAGATGGTAAGTCGCACTAATTCAGTAGCACTCTTGCCTTGAAGACACCCACGTTGTAATCGGACGGAAACACCGACGCCGGCAGGTTGTTCCAATCCTCAGCCGCACGTATAATGAATATATATATATATATATATTATATAAATATATATATATTTATATATATATATATATATATATATATATATATATATAAATATTCTGCGATAAAAAATAACTTATGTGCTATTCCAGATTATACATAATCTATCTCTGTGCAAAATTTAACCCAGATCCATTTTGCTGTTCTGGCGTAAAAGAGTAACAAATATCCATCCATTTACACAAATTTTCACATGTATATAAGTAAAAATGAATCACCGAAATGTATGTATGTACGCGCATAACTTCTGATCGACTGCACCAAATTGGATAAATCTTTTTTTTTGTGTTTGTTATTGTCAGCACAAGCTTTGTATAAAAGATAATTAAAAAAAATTACTAAAAGAAGATTCTTTTTAAATCTCATGGTATGAAAAGTGCGTGAGTGAAATAGTTTTCATCCCGGAAATCGTCCCTTAAGGGGGTGAGAATGAGGTTGAAAGTTTGTATGGGGAAGCAGTTTATAATGTTAGTAAATTATAATATAGATGTGTTTCCTTAATGATATGTATATTGTTCTCCAGCACGATGTCCACGACGGAGGGCGGGCGCAAGGTGTCTGCGGCGGTGGCGAGCACGGGGCGCGCGGTGGCGAGCACGTCGCGCGCGGTGGGCGGCGCCCTGTCGCACGCGCGCGGCGCTCTCTCGGGCTGGTGGAGCGCCCTAACCACGCCCGCGCCGCCCTCCGACACGCCCTCGCTGACCTCCGAGTCGGAGGACAACGACGGGGAAGTGGGGGAGGCGAGGGAGGCAGGGGAGGTGGGGGACAACAGAACGCAGCCCGACGCAGAAGCCGACCCGCCAGACAAGCTCATAGAAGACGACACCCTCACTAACCTTAGCAAAATAAGAGTCATTTGAAGTGTGATACTTAAATAGTTGATTGTTATTCGGAATAAGTGTAGAATATTTTTGTGGATTTTATATGTATATTATGGCACTTTGTGGTTTCTTTTTTTCTTTAAATATTGTTTTGTTATTTCAAAAACTGTCATAGTGATAATTATTAATCCAGTTCGGTATTTCACGTTATTATTAAATCTATATATATAAAAGAAAGTCGTGTTAGTTACTTCGCTTATAACTCAAGAACGGCTGAACCGATTTAGCTGAAAATTGGCAGGGAGGTAGTTTAGAGCCAGGAGAAGGACATAGGATACTTTTTATCCCGTTCGACCGCGTTCCAATTTTTATGATATTTTAATTTTTGGATTTCTCTTAGTCCGGAATAGGTAAGTATTAAAACATATAATTAAAATGTGAGAAAGAAAGATTTTTTCTTTTTATATCTATTTAAAACGTACCTAGCGACGAACCCGAGCGAAGCGAGGGTGAGCCGCTAGTATATTATGTTTGTGATTTGATTTTGCTTAATACTTAGCTATTTAAGTTGCCAGTACTTATTAATTGAAATCCTGAAAATGTAAACTAGTAGTAGTAAGTAGTATTTCATTGTTAGCATAACACTTGTAAGTTTGATATGTATTATATGTTTAGCATTTGAAGTTAGCAATCCCAGGCAAAATTTTATTATAAGTTAAAACGAGATTTTATTATAAGTTAAAAGATATATTTGTTTTTTAATTTAATTAGTTTTGGGCTGTTTCAATTATAAATATTGCCATATTTATGTGACTTTAGTATTAGATATTCATAAGCGATTGTTGAAATGTTGACAGCTACTTATATTGATTGGTAATTAATTACATGTGTGGAAACATGAGTTGTAGTCGACTTTCTTATTTATTGGGCGTTTATATGTTTGCAATACGTAGGACTTAGAAATATTTACCTAATTTTCTTATAAAGCTTAGTGTTTTGTAAATACCGATCGATGACTTTTCTTCAAAACATCGTTACATATAAAATTGAGCATATTATGTGCAATATTAAAACAATAAAAAATATCTGCTTATATATTCGTATCGTATGTTTTAATTCAAGGCTAATGAGTGTAGAATACAGGGAATTACCGAATGTAAATGTTTATGAAATGACAAATGCTGTATAACAAGTATGGGCCAAATAGTTTGGATTATAATTTGTAGACTTAATTTATTTAAAGTAGACACTTAGTGAATCAACTCGTATATTTATTTAACATGATCTCTAATATAATTATTGTTGATATTATATTGTACAGTAAACAATAAATCTGATTTCATTTTATATACTTTTTATTTCTTCTATTAAAAATGATAATCGCTATAAATATATAGCATTTTCAAGCTTACTCTAGTAAAATTACAAAACATGGAGTGTCAATAAGAAATATAAATGCAATATAGCTATTTCATTAAATACCATACATAGCCTTACAGTGGACAATGTGGAATAATAATGAAAATAATGTTCTTCTAAGTGTGTATTGCATTTATTATTACTAAACTACATAATAATAAAACTTGCGTCGCATACTACCTTTAAATGGCTAGTTAGACTAGCTCTAAGAAACAATCCTTGATAGATTCATTTTATTGCTATATCACAATAATAAAATATCATTAAGCGAATGCCGGGCCAGTACCGGCTTACTCTTTCAAGATTAAGTATCCGTTCACTGTTAAATATGTGAGGTAATCCTTAAGTACACAAAGGCGCGTTCACACGGCTGAGTCCGGCTCGTGCCAGGGCGGGTCGCAGTCCAGCGCGTCCTGGCGCCACAGCGAGCCGCGCGCCAGCAGCCGCAGGTTGTAGGGCTCCACCATGTTGGACAAGGAGCCGTCGCTGCCGGCGCGCCCGCCCTTGCTCTCCGGCAGCAGGTCGAAATCCACGCTGTCCCGCAGCGAGTCCGCGTCGCTGGCATCCGAGCGCGGCGAGAAGTCCGTGCTGGCCGTGCCCTCCGTGCCGGCGTTGTAGCTGAGGTCGCACTCCAGCGCGGCGGCGCCCGCGTTCGCCGGCGCCGCGGGGGACGCCACCAGCGGCGCGCACTCGTCGTCGCTGGAGGGGCGCGCGGGGCGGGCGGCGTGGGCGGGCGGCGCGCGCGTGAATTTGTCCTTGAGCCAGGCGAGGCGCTCGGCGGGGCGCGCGGGCGACAGCGACGAGTCCTCCACGGAGAGCGAGCGCGCGGGGGCGGGCGCGGCACGCGGCGCCTCGTCCAGGCGCAGCGAGGACGGGCGCGGGGCGGCGCGCGCGGCACGGCGCGGCCGGGGGCGGGCGGCGAACGTGACGTGCTCCTCGTCCTCCACGCTGAAGCTGACGACGGGCGCGCGCTCGCCGTGGGGCGGCTCGGGGGGCTCGTCTGAAAGCAAGGCGGCAGTGAGGCGCAGGGCGGCGGCACCGCGCGGGCGGCGCGATCGCCCCTGCGAGTTGCACAAGAGTTGTGGGAAATAAAACGAACTTTGTTTTTCAAACGTTTATTTAAATTCCAATTCAAATTTAATCTATCTACGGAATGGTAAAATGGAATTTTAAAAGGTGAGGGAGCTAATATTTTTCCCGATATGTAAGTTTCACTCAACACAATCTGTATTCATATTCGTGTAAATAATTACAATGGCAATTGATAAACTAGAATAAATATTCTTAACGTTAGTCTTAAAGTTACATTTCATTTAGGAATACAAACGAATTGTTATAGACAACAATTTTAGGACTTTTTTTGTATAATATGTCTAAAAAATTTATAGCAGGAATATGCTTTCATAATTCGAATAGTAAAGATAAAACTCACAATAAAAAAATTGTGAACCAATTTACCTAAAACCGTAATGGCACAATTCGATCCTTAAAATTATTAAAACGTGTTCATCACAACCGGGCACGGGCACGGGCACTAGGGACACAGCCAAAATAAATATTCTAAATGTATCACAATCTACATTATTGCAAAATAACATGAATGATGGATACTATCGAAATACATTCAAATATTAACTAAGAAGTATAGACATACTCTCCAAGGCTTAGACATGATAATATAAAATGTATAACATTCAAGTATAATTAAGTACTAATTAATTCGACGTTATTGTTTGAATTGCGTGTTTTACACTAATATTTTATACCATCGGTAGAATAAAGTTGCATAACTAACGCCATATTTACTCTAATGAACTACACAGGGACAGACTTAAGTGAAAGAGATCAATCTATGATAGTTATTCGGATATATGCGACTTTGTTCTACAAAAGGTACATTTTTAATGATAAAAGTACATAAACATACAAATAAGTGCTTTAAATAAAATAATTGCATTTTGGAAGTTCTAAGGTTCAACAAAATAATATGAGTTATGTGTAACTACGATGGCGACTTGAGATCTCTTCTTTAAGTCTCTGATGTGTTTTACAAGTTTAGTAATTAATCATTAATCTCACAATATGTAACGACCAGCCTTTATAAACATGGCAGATTAATGATGTTTAATTGGTTACCGGCAAGTACATTTTATGTACAATTTCATTCATGTAAAGCATGTTTGAAGCGATTCATATAATACGTAAGCAAATTAATATATTTAAACAGTTTTATATGCTTCTTTTAAAGGAGTTTTTAATTGTATTAGGAATGACATTATTATGTAAAAGTATTTGACTATTTTGAGGACATTTTGATATAAATGTTCTAGAAAAACAAGATAGTAAAACATACTATATTTAATAAACACTTAACACTAGTCAAATACTTTCACTTTACTACATTACTAATCGTGGAACATATTGATATTGTTTGAAGTACAGCATATAATTTAAGAAGCGTCGTCATTATCACAGGAATACGTCATCGGTGAGGTTCACAATGACGTGCTCGGGGCGTCGCTCCCCTTCTTCCGAGGAGTCGCTGTGCGAGGGGGTGGTGGAGGTGTCGGGGGTGCGGGGGGTGCTAGGGCTGTCGGGGGGAGCGGGGGGCGGGGGGTAATCGCGGATGGTGCGCAGGGCCTCACCGGGGGGCGGGTTGGCGTGGTTGGCGGAGGGCGCGGAGGGCGCAGAGGGCGCGGGGAGGGCGGAGGGCTCTGATTGCAGGACATCTTCCAACGCCTCCTCGTTTAGTGTCTGCAGCGCCCCACATATCATCTGCTCTTCTAGTGTCACCTGTAAAAACAATAATAATATGTAAAATATAAATAAGAAGTCATCATCACCAAAACACATTACACACTAATAACAAAAGATGAACAGATATGCATGTGGGAACGGGTGTCCGGATGAAATGCTAGTAATATGTTCAATGTTCATTCTATTAATTTAAACCATAATATTCATATATACTCAACACATTTAACGTGCAAGTGTGTAACATCTACAGGGCATGAACAGTTACATTTTCGAACTACTAGGGCTAATCATACTTTCTTAGAAACTAGAGCTAACAAACACCACACAGTAAAAATACATTCGGACCACATTTCATTTAAATAACATTTGACTTAAATGATATTTTACCATCTAAATAATGTGGATGAACCAAAAACAAAAACATACAGTTAATAGTGAAATAAAATTGATTCAGTCTATCAGGACGCTAGATGCTAAATGAATTACAGTTCTATGTGCATGTGTTTATAACAACATTTTATTAAAATTTATCACCTGATATTCCGCAAATGGCTGCAATAATAAAAATTTAAGATATTGAAATGCTCTAAATATTAGATAATGAAATATCTAATATTTAAAACTATGCATATTTCATTCTTTTAATAAGTATAGAGGTTTTTTGGCAAGTAGTTAAATTGATAACAATTAACATGAAGAATTTGGAAAAACCTTTTATACATATGTTATGTACATATTACATTTAAATTTGTTAATCATTTTATGTAAAACTAGAGTCCCTAGCATATATTTCAGCATTTAGCGCGCAAATCGTGATCTATATTCATAATGTAAAAGGCAAATTACATCAATATTAAGTACTTTAATATTATGTAAATCAAATAATCAGCTACATATGAGTCATAAATATATTATTTTTAAATTATTATTTTTTTGGAAAAAATAAAATGGTACGGATTTTTATGTAGAATTATTAAAGGTTTACTACATATTTTCTAAACATTATTTTCACTATTAAATAACCGGTTGGCTGATTTTTTTTAAGATTTGCTTCTAATAACCGTGAACCGTAGCTCGGCTAAAACAGATTATATATTTTTCCAAAAAAAGAAAAATCAAATAAATGTTTCCTTTTTATAACATTAGAACATATAGTTACACAAAAGATATATGCACATACCTGTTTTTCAACATTTGACGGACGAGATCTTTGGTGTTCCAGTCCCGCCTTTGGCTTGATACCGTCTGCCTCTGATTCGCCAGTTTTATCACTTATCACTGAAAATGTTTTCAATAACTACATATATGTCTAAAATAATTTAAGAAGCAATAGGTTCTTTAGAATAAATACTTGTAATTCGAACTTATATATGCCTAGTGCATATCTGTTTCTAACAGCATTAGTCACAAAATATTAGCCTGTGCTATGTCGTTGCTTGTTGTTAGCTTCACTTAACTTCATACATTATTAAATCTTGGTAGTCGACAGCGCTGGATTTACTCTGGGGGCACTCGGGGCTAGTACCCAGAATGGCAAAATTCGGAGGGTGAGACATTTTTTTTCTTCGCGTTATCGAAGATGCTTTTTTTATTTTACAAAAAAATAAAAAATAAAAAAGATTAACTAGTAGACATTTTTCGAAAAATTGATATCATTTATAAATCATTTCTTTGCATTTAAAAAAAAATAATACATAAAAAATTTAATCTTTCAACATTTTATTAAAAATTTCGATAATAGGGCGACATTTTTTACTATTCCTAGGGGCAGCGCTGGTAGTCGATATATAAACCTCTTGTGCTTTCTATTGAAATTCAGATTCCAGCTGATGGAGCCAGGTTCGTAGAATTCTTCAGTGTGTACTATTTTATTTTCTTTATAGCATGGTGCGAGTGACACTTGCCAAATATGAATTAGAGTGGCACCCGCACCATTCAATTAATTTTATCGAAAAAAAATCTGAGTAAAATATCAAAGAAAAAATATTTTATGATCTCGTATATAGATAGCATGGTGCGAGTGACACTTGCCAAATATGAATTAGAGTGGCACCCGCACCATTCAATTAATTTTATCGAAAAAAAAGTGAGTAAAATATCAAAGAAAAAATATTTTATGATCTCGTAAATACTAAATATGACTCATGTTTTATTATCAAATTCAATAAAAACATTGATAAATGACCCCTCGACATTATGTGATAAAAAGACATGTAAACAAAATATGGCTGTATTGGTAACATACATAAAACGTTGGAAAATGTTTCCCGCAGCATATAGTACCTTTAAATTTCGTCTTATGTGTCAATTACATAAAATTGCTCTAAAGCGTGTTTTTTTTTTCATTTTTAAACTAAAATATATAATGTAAAGAATATGACATACCGGTGAGCGTGGGCGCGGCGAGGGGGACATTCGCTTCAAGCTCACGTAGGTTTATTATAAGCATCTTAAACAGCTCCCAGTCACCAAATGGTAGATCTAATATCTATATAAAAAACGTTAATTTAAAATTTTTGCCTATTGTTTCATTGCATTATTGGTAAAAAATCGGTTGTTGAAACTAAAGAAAACCATATATGAATTGTCTAGTAAACGTAATATTTTTTTTGAAATGTTTTGAAAAGTGCTGTTATTGGTTTTATTAGCCTTTACAGCGTCACCGGGCGGGGCACTGCTTAGAAAATTGAGCATGAAGCTCTAAGGAAATAGCTTCATAAGACTTTTCTGTGAGGATGTAGAGCTTGTTATATCTAGGAAACTTAGGATGACTCGAAACGAAAAGTAAAAACAATTGTGAAAATCAAATAAATGTATCGTCCAGTATCCTCCCGGACTTGAAGTCAAGATACACATTTAGTAGGCGGTTCACCTCAGTGGGCGGTGGACCATTCGGATTGCTCCCTGAGTGGACCGCGGGAGCCAACCCGAAAAATATCTGCCATAACAATCTATATGGCATATAATTTGTGAGGCAGTGGTAGCTCAGTGGTAACGCGCTCGCTTGGTAAACCGAGTGAAGCGGGTTCAAATCCCGGGTCTCACACCTCTAATATTTTCATGTGCGAATCATTCCTAACACGATTACCACTTGCCTTATGGTGAAGGAAAACATCGTGAGGAAACCTGCATATCTGAGAGAACCTAGCAAGTTTTCGAAAGACGTGAAATCCGCCAATCCGCACTTGTCCAGCGTGGTGGACTATGGCCTGATCCGCCTCTTATTGAAGGGAGGCCCGTGCCCAGCTGAAGGACGTTAAAATATGGTATAACGCACCGGCTTGAGGTCGGCGAGGCGGCAGACGGCGAGCACGAGGCCGCACACGCGGTGCGCCGCCAGCGCCGCGGCCGCCGCGCCCCCGCCCGCGCCCAGCGCCGCGCGCACCACGCCGCACGCGCGCTCCACGCTCAGCGTCGACAGCCGCAGCCCGCTCACATCGCCCTGACACACACATACACACACTTACTAGTTGTTTAGTTTAAGAATAATGTATGAGGCAAATTTTTTTAGAGCGTCGTAATAGAAGAAAAAAATCCATAAGATAGATTGTTTTAACAATGACCATGCAATAAGGAAATAATAAAAAGATCAAAACTTAAATTTAAAAATATTGGTATACTTACCTTGTATCATAGACATTTGTCAGTAGTATTTTTTTACATTACAGACATAATTCATACTTATATACTACAGATTTTTTGTTAATTAAAAAGCATTACTTGTCTATACTTGTTCCTGAGTAATAAAAATCACTCATTTAAGTAGTTCTGCTTTTATAATTTAACACTTGAAAAATTTACCTTTTGACGACAATTGAATGTAAATAAAAAACTGTATCTGTGCCAAAAGTGATGGGTTTTAGAAAAAATTTTTTAATACAAACATTCATGTCGTGTAGTAATTAAATACGTCAATCTAATCTTTCTTTCTAGCTTTCAATATACCCAAAACAACTAAAATTTATGCAAACTATTACACACTCACCAATGCCGGGAACGCAGTGCGCAATAACGCGACAGGGTTGAGCGACACTGCGGGCGTGAACTCCTGCGCTTGCGCGTAGGAGGGCACGGACAAGGCGGGTAGGGCGGGCGGCCCGGACAGGGCGGGCGCCACGTTCGCACTCCAGCCCGCCCACAGGGGCGGTGCCACCACGGCGCTCGACACTGGCACCGCTGGGTTAGGCAAAACTTTCGTCTGTAACAATTCCGAAAACATTTACATCAGAAATATTTAATTTTTATTATATGTACACTTACCAAATTGTTACTAAATTATTATTGTTGTATTTCAAAATAATTTTATTTAAATATACCGGTTTCTTTTGGAATGTCTTGGTATGAGGTGGCCTGCTGGTTGGAAGCCAGGGCGCAGCTCCGCTCGCAGCTATTTCCTCCTCCATGCCAGATTGCACTTGCTCTTCTAAAATAAAAAAAATAATTCTTCAAATCTTTTTTGTCTCTAATCTTATAAACTTAATGGCATCGCGATATTAAGTATAGTTTCTTATATTTGTGAAAAATATTCTGTGTATTTCAGAATTATAAAGAATAGATGGCGCCACAAGCAATAACTACTACAAGATAAGAACTTTAGGTATTTATAATATTAGTGACTCCTAAACCTTAAATCATTATCATCATACCTTTAATAACTTTCTTGATGTAAGGATCGAGGTTGATGGTGAAGGGCAGGAATATCTTGAGGTCGGCGGCGGTGAGCGTGGCGCGGTGGAAGCTCAGAAACACCTCCAGCTTGCGCTCGTCGCGGTCCAGCTCCATCAGCGTGCTGGCTTCACGCAGACCACCTATCAGGGGTTTCACTCTAGAAACATAGTTCATTTTAAAAACAAACATTACATTCGCTACATGAAAGTTATTTTGCCATAGTGTGGAAAAAATATTAGTAGGACGATTTAAAATTAGCTTTTTGTACAAAAAATCTTGAATAACAGTTACCAAGCATATATTAGTCACCAAATAGCGGGGATTTAAATTAAGAGTTTTGACAAAGTACATGATTATTTCGTCTAGTATTATGTTTTTAAGCATCTTACTTTTCAAATATGTGTTTAAGTGATGTAGAATCGTCGATATGCTCCTCATAAGTCTCATGATGGTAAATAATCCAAGACGTGCGGAACGGCCACTGCTCAGTTAGATTCACCCAGGAGGCCAGTTGATACCAGTTGAATTCTATTTGGAATGCTTTAAGTAGACGACCTAAAAGTTAAAGATTTATATAAATATTTATAAATTAAGATGCACTGTTTGTGATAGTTTTATTATTTGATAAAAGTTAACGAGTCAACACAATAGAAGCTTTTTAGTTCCAGGAGTGTATTTTTAAAGGCTAGGTCTATAAGATTGACCATCCCCTTATATCGTACTCCCCTTGTGCCTATTAAAATGCGGACCTAAAAAAGATAAATATTTTTCTCAATGTGTACAAATTTATTTACAAAAACCTCAATAATATAATATTATAATAAATCAACGACGAGATGAAACTAGGACTATGTGCATCACCTCGCAGCCAGCTGCTATGGGCCATATACCCCACCACAGTAAGGTCACCGATACTCTTTAGCTATAGATAAAAAAATATCTTGTAGTGAAGTGAAATAACTATTCTGCATCAACAAAACTTCACCTGTGACATACAGTACGTTCATGAGCCTCCTCATACTGCGCGGGTTGACATCGCTGAAGTAGTCGTCCGTGAGCAGCACGCGGCCCAGGTCGGCGGCGCCGGCGGCGGGCGCGGGCGCGCGGTGCAGCCCCGACGCCACCGACGACGCGACTGAGTCGGCGCGCAGCCCGCGCCGCTCCCCCCTCTCCGCGCGCTCACCCCGCGCGCCCCCCTTGATGCGCTCCTGGCTCGACATCAGCTCCGAGGTGGAGGATAATCGACGCGCAGACACCTGGTTCATAGTGCAGATAGAGACAACGGTCAATCAATATCATTAGTGTTTCCTTGGTTTTAAGTGACATACCGTCGGTCTAACTCGTTAACCTGCTAAGTCCATTTTTGACTAATTTTACTTTTTATGCCAGTCAAAAGTTCAGACCATTACCTACATTATGTAAACACACACACATTACACTACATTATTAAGGGAATGGCGACGATATCAATATAAAAAGATTAGAAAAATATCAAGGAACCAACTGTATTTTCAGAATTTTGATTTCTAAAAATGAAATGATATAATTCAGTTTTTTCTTCGTCCTGTAAACTATGCAGAAATACAATTAGTAACTTAAACGAATTAGGCCGACAATATTTGTTATTTATTTTATAGCACAACAACAAAGGATTAATTTAAATTCACATTGAAATATATTTCGATGTTAAAAAAGCATAATTAAAGACCATGTCTATGGATAAAGCATATATGGATTAATATTATAAAATAAGAAAACTTACAGATCTTTGCAACGAAGTGCTAAAATCATCAGATCCTAGGGCTTGAATTCTTTTAGCCGCAGTCTGCTGGGCGACCTTGACCCGGCGCAACGCCGAGTTTTGCAGGTAGAAAGGCAACTGTACCATATTGCGCAAATAGTCCCATCCACCAATATTGCTCTCCGACAAGGCTCGACGACTGTTGATTTCTACTGCCTGGACGTTGGTTTATAAGAATTATATTTACGGTTAGATCGAATCGAAATTATAAGAAAATCAATGATATAGCAAAATCGATATTTTACATATAACAACAGTCGAGTTTAAATACAGCTTCTTATAGTAGGGGAGCCCAAGAGGGGATTTTCTGTAGTTACTCGAGCGCGGCAGATTAACATAAAAGAGGTTACCTTGCACTCTATTGAGTACTTTCACCATAATATAAGTCTTCTATATAAAGGGGCGCGTCTAGGGAAGCCGATTAAAATATTTAAAAAATGTTTTGATAAGGTAGAAATACTTGAAACCGTCAGATTAAGGTGTGGTAGGCTAGTCACATCCTGAAAAGTGTCCAATTCAATAATCTGCCGATTTGCACAAGCCGAAGAGGCAAAAATCGGCTATAAAGTTTATGATGATTTTTGCCTCTTAGGCTTGTGCAAATCGGCAGATTATTAAATTGGACACTTTTCAGGATGTGACTAGCCTACCACACCTTAATCTGACGGTTTCAAGTATTTCTACCTTATCAAAACATTTTTTAAATATTTTAATCGGCTTCCCTAGACGCGCCCCTTTATATAGAAGACTTATATTATGGTGAAAGTACTCAATAGAGTGCAAGGTAACCTCTTTTATGTTAATCTGCCGCGCTCGAGTAACTACAGAAAATCCCCTCTTGGGCTCCCCTACTATTATGAAAAACTCGGGAAAAGTATTTATATAGGAAAAATTTTCATATGTATTTTTTCAACGAAATTTGCACAATTGTACATGTGACATGCAACACCAAAGGCAAATATTAAACTAACAAAAATAGGAGCAAAATAAAAGTAAGACTGATCATGCAATGCACACGATATAACATCGACATCGATGTCTGAGTCACAACACTGACTGTCATCTAATGGGGCACACCCAACACTTAACTAACCTCCATCCAAGCAACCTGCGTATTTGAAATTTGTTGAATTGCCAATTATATTTTATAGTAAATTAAATATTTTATATAAAAAAAAAATATTTTTAACGAATATGTTTGTGAAAAAAATAAATAGAATAATAAACGGTGTAATTAAAAAAAAAATATTTTGGAGCTTGCATGCTGAAAAGTGGATCAATTTCTTTGATAAATAATGTTGCATATATTGTTATAGCACAAAATTTTAGAACGATGTGCAAGTAAATCTCTAATTTTAATATACATACATAATCGATTACTCTCGGAAATGGATATGGGCATCATAATCACATAAATGCATAAAGTGTTACCTAACTATTTTTGTTAAAAAAAAGTGAATAAATAATATAATTGTATTTAAAATTTTAATGAACACTTTATAAAGTTTTCATTAAAATTTTAAATACAATTATATTATTCCAATTTTTTTTTTCTAAAAAACAAGAAAATAAAGTCATGTTTACTTTAATGATCGCCTCCATTAAAATATTAAGAATTTCGTAATTAACTAAAAATGTCAAAATATCAATACTATCGTGAACCGACCTTGCTGATGATGTGGGGGTCGATGGCCAGCAGCAGGATGAAGGGGCTCTTGGGGTCGGAGCAGAGCGCGTGCACGGCGTTGAGCAGCGCCAGCACCTTCTCCTGCTCGCAGCTGTCCAGCGCGTCCACCACCACCACCAGGCGGGTCTGTTGCCCCGTGAACGCGTCGAGGCACGACACCTATGCATTTGTTGAAGAGGTTATTCTTTAGTTACTCAGAAAATTATTTTAACTACATGTATTATATTATTACTATAAGTATTAATTATAAAATATTATTTTAGACGCTTAAATACAACCAAGTATTACGCAGATTTTTCTTCCTTTAAAATGAAAATAAATAAATATGTTATATCAATGAACGTTTTATCAAAGATTTAATTAAAAAAATAGTAATGTTATTTCCTGACTTGAACATAGAATTTATTTCTGTGAATTGGATGGAAGAGTGCTGTGAGTTGATTGGAGAGAGAGAGATATATAATAATTGTTTCGAAACTTGAGAGTATTTTTAAAGCAAAACGGCACAGTTGTAGCACAAGTATACATCTTCCAGAGTGCACATGCGTGCGTGCGTGTACTCACGGTGTGCGTGAGCGCCTGCACCTCGGGGCGCAGCGCGGCGGGCGCGCGGTCGCGGCGCGCCAGGCGCGCGAGGCGCGCGCGCGGCGGCACTGCCAGCGCGGCCAGCGCACGCGCGCCCGCGTACAGGTTGGCCAGCAGCACGGCGCCCGCCGCCGCGCACGCGCCCACCACCAGCCCCTGCCGCACGTCGCGCCGCCTGACACGCATACAATAAATTACATAAAAAACTTCAAAAAAAATACGACTTCCACACACTAAAATGTAAAAAATAACTAAACTGGGGTTTCCATTTAGATTAGATACCTAATCAGATATTTTCGAAGTCGGTGCAAGAACAAGTATCTCCACCTATTTACGCAATGTCTTAAGTACCAATATAAATTAATTGTGACACTTATGAATACAAAAATAAAGTGGAAAAATACCTTTGCTTACATACATTGACATGTAATGTCAAATATGCCCCAAAACGAAATTCTTTTTATTTATCACGAGAGACACCAAAAAGTGCGTTCAATTTCTAACGTTTATAATTCTTTTAGGTTTTTATATTTTATTATAGTTGTGATAAATTTCTAATGTATAAAATATACATGTACGTTACACAATAATGTCCTTACATTGGATCGGTTTCATTGTCGGTGATATATATGATGAGCACGCAGCCGCCGACCAGCACGCACAAGAAGCTTAGCTCAAATGTGATTATATGCGGAATGCAACACGCCCGACGCCATCTGTAAAAATTGTAATTGTTAAATATTCAAATAGAAAAAAGCCTAATAAAAAATTTCATTTATAAGCAAAAAAATATTTTTGTTCATAGTTCTGACATTTTTTGCTTACAAATTCACAAGTATAAATTCAAGCATCATTTCCAATTTGAATAATAAAAAATTTGAATAATTTTAAATAAAAACTAATAAATTATTTGAAAGTGCGATATTAAATGCAATTATATAATACCCTGTTTTTCTACACCTCGTTTAGAGAATAAGTTGGCACATTCATTGATTTGTTTAGCAGAGATTATATATAAATTATAATCTCTATAACTTCTATTAATTCTCTCTATTATTAATTACTATACAAACAAAAAAAACTTAAATAAAAATAATAAATTTAAAACCCAATAAAGCAATTTATAATTACATCTTCCCGATCGATTTCAGGTTATGGCTATGGACTCTGGGTTTCAATAAAATCGAGTGATCGGATTTTGGTTAAAAATTAGATATTAGATTTTTAATTAAAGTAAATAAAAATAATTATGAATAAGAGATTTTGGAACATTAATTACAGCACGTTTTACAAAACCTCTTACGCCATCTATTACATGTATATGTATAATTATAATAAAGAGACTTATATGTATGGAGTTATACAGGCGGTCGATCTATGTATCTCAGTATAACACTCACTTCCAGCCCGAGGTGGAGGCGACGGGGCGCGGGCGGAAGGCGCGCGCCAGGCGCGTGCACACGCGGCCGTACTGGCACTCCAGCGCCTCCGCCAGGCTGCCGATCATCTGCACCACCATCGCCTCGCCCTCCTGCCCCGCGCCGCCCTTCATGCCCTCCGTGAAGTGGAACCTGGTGCCAGATATTATATTCAAATAACACTTCATAGTAATAATAAGCCTTTATTCACCAAGACAACATCACATAAGAAAAGTTTTAATAATTGGTAAAATATTACAGTTAAATAAAATTACCTACATAACATACAAAATTACAAATAGATAATAATACTATGAGTCATAACAACTATTGACATAATATAATATGACGAACTTGTTTTTTTTACAAAATATTGCTTTTGTAATACTATTTCATTCTTATTATATTTTAGTAAAAATTATTTTTTTTGTAAAAAGTAAAAAAGAAATAAGACTCAGCTAAATTTAATATGAACTATTAGCTACAAAAATAATGTCACATTGATAAAAACTTAAAAAAATAAAAATAAAACTGTCTTCCAGGCACTAAAATGTAAAAAATAACTAAACGGGGGTTTTCATTTAGATAACCTAATCAGATATTTTCGAAGTCGGTGCCAGCCGACGCATAGGAAATCTAATATATTTTGATACGTAAAAAAAACCGACGAATTGAGAACTTCCTCGTTTTTGGAAGTCAGTTAAAAACCAGCTAAATATAAAAAGCCCTAAGTGATTCGTAATTTTTGTTCTATAACATTTCAAACTCTTTCTTAATACAATGCAATGGTCAATTTTTAAGTTTCTTCTACAATCTATAGTGGCTTTAACAAAAATCTCTATTATGACTTTTACTAAAATATCAACCAAAAGGATCTAAAGCATACTGATCATTAAGTAAGTAAATAACACAGACGTACCTGATAGGTGTGGCGGGTAGGGCGCGCGGGTCGTCGGGGCCGGGCGGGTGGCAGAACACCACCTGCAGCAGCAGCAGCAGCGAGCTGAAGCGCCGCCCCAGCGCCGCCACCATGCCGCCCGCCCACCACCACTCGTATCTAAACATTTCTTATTTTAACATACTATTTTATTTGAAGTTATTCTTATTTTATAATTAGAGCTACAACATGCAATGCTCGAAAATGCTCAAAAAACTTTAGAAAAACTAAACTACCTACTAAGTTGAAATTTATTAAGCTAATCCATACCTATACATAATTCCTAAAGTTTTTTAAAAAAAATAGCCAATACTTTAAATTCTATTCACCAAATATAATTAAACTCACACAATATATCGAAAATCTTGAGCACAAAATACATAAGTTTCAAAATCACTCACTTGTTTCCAAGATACCACAGCACATAAAAGGTCAAGTATAGCGATGCGAAGACCGCAAAGAGCACGGCCAGCGCGACGTAGGCGGGCGCGCCCGCCACGGCGGCCACGGCGGCGGCGCCCAGCGCCACGTGCCACGCGCCCCACGACACCGCCCACGACCACGCCCACCCTGTCTCACTCCACTGCCGCGCGAAGTTCTTCATCTCCTCTGGATCCACACAAAATAAACTTTACAGAACCCGACTACTGAAGAAAAAACCGTCAACCCGGCTAGGTAAATAAACTAAATATGATAGCAAAAAAAAGTCTTATCACCCGGGCAATAATAGCAAGTCGATGGAGGCCTCATTTATCAAAATCGGGTATCGAGTTTGGATGTTACGGTAGAACATACATAAATACAAATATACATATACATAGTAGGTATATGTTCATAGACTGCCAAAAACATAACCGTGTATTGGTGGTTTGTGAAATATAAAAAGATCAAACAGACACTGAGCCAGAATTTAATTAATTTAATTATTCATATTAATTATTCCCAAGGAGGGTTGACGTCAGGCAGGCGGCCGGTCGTAAAACTTTTGCCAAATCCTATCAGCAGTACACTGAAGATGTACTGCGCCGACCCCAAGTGATTTGGGAAATGAGCAGGGAGAAGAAGAAGAAGATTCATATTAATATGTCCAATTTAGTATCCTTCTCGATGGTGCACGAACTTGCATCCTCGATTATACGAAAAATAAAAAGCGACTTCAAAACACAAAAAAGTATAAAATAACTAAATAGGAGTTTTCATTACCTATAGATAATTAATCAGATATTTTCGAAGTCGGTGCCAGCCGATACAAATCAAAGCATACCAAATCATATGCTTCTATAGGACAATTAGACCAGGGTAGAAGCCTTTAAAAATAATAAAAAGTGAAAAAAAAAATAGTAGGATGCAACCCATTAGAAAAGGAGGGGAATATTATAAAAATGAAAGGAAAAATAATTTACGGGCGATCTGAGGTCGGGAAGGGGTGGGGGATATGTATGAATATATGTATAAATATATAAAAAATATGTATAGTATAGATTTTTATATTTATAATATATTTTTTATACATTTTGACATTTATTTCTTTAATATATTTTTTTCATGGGAGTATACTCACGATAAAATAGTGAAGGCATTATTAATTCAATTTTGTCTTTTCAGATTATCAGTATGGATGAATCTGTTTGTATCATCTACAATAAGGCAGATGTAAGAAAGTGTATGAAATAAAAAAGGTTTTTTGTTTTTTGCCTTTTTTAGAAGATTTACTATAGTAACATATATTTTTTTTCGCCATCGGAAAGTAGAGAGTTCAACGAACAGAAAACACACCAACTTTTTGAAAAAAGCTGATATTATTTGGGATGTGACGATGCACAGCATCTGTGAGAGGGCGCTGTATACTTCCCTTTTATTAGCCAATCACTTACGACTTCCTCTTGATATTTTCGACCAATCAACGCCTTGCTTAAAATCACGTGGTCCCAGGTGGCAGGGCGCCAAAGGCGAACGTTCTTACCTCATAGCGTCGTTATTTCCCGATCGAGTAACATCGTTTCTTAATAAGTGATAAAAAGTGAAAAATAGGAAAAAAAATATTTCAAATAAGAGTGAAAAAGTGTCTTTGAGTTTAGTTTTAAAGCATTATCATATCTAAATAGTGTTAAAATAAGTGAGTGATGAGTGATCATAATCAGTGCAGTGGCGTAAGCTTTGATCAGGATAATCCTGACGAAATGGAGGTAGGCATGCAAATGCCTTCATCTGGTCGAAAGCGCCTGCATTCGAGCGGAAGTTCGAGTTCCTCTCAATCTGACTCATCCGATTTAGAGGTAAAAAGGCGGAGAACGGGTGAGTCAGCTTCAGACATTAATAATCTTGTCAATCAAGTATCTATTTTGACTAATATTTTAATGCAAAATATGTGTGCATCGAATGTTACTGCTAACAAAAGTGTAACGGCAATAAGTGACGTTCAATCGAGTAGGCTACCCGTATCAGAGCCAACACCGGGGCCTAGCACGTCATGTTTAAATTTTAATTTAACACGGCCTGCGGCCGTTCATGAGAGCTTCGTTAATAACATTCCCCGTTTAAATTTGGGTGTTGTCAATACATCCTCTAAGGAACCTAAAGTACCTAAAGCTAATCCGGAACATTTGCACCGGCTTGAGGTTTTACAAAGATTCGGTGATACAGCTTGGAAAGATGTTCGGTATAATGATGTGTTAAAAATCCATAACGCCGCGCCTGGCTTCGTTGAGCTACAAATTAATGATGATCTCAGGCAATTTATTAAAGGCAAAGATAACGTAGCAAGTTCTGAAAGATTAATAGCTGCTTTATGCAACGCATTGATCTCTCAGCGAGAGGTTCTCAATCATTGTTTGCAGCAATTTATTGACTGGACAGCTTTACCTGACAGTACGCTGTCGCCTTCAAATATTTACGATAAAATATCTGAGTGTTTCCTACCCTCATCTAAATTTCATAAAATTAGTGAGGAGATTATGCAATTAGTGTGCGGGAAACGGGCGGAATATATTGAAACTCGTAGGGAGCGTATCCTTAGTGAGATTTCAAACAAGAATTTGCGTGAGGGTCTGCGTAAGATTCCTCCGAGTTCTAGCTTTTTATTTGACGAAATTCTACTGCGGTCCTATATTCAGAATACGGGTGGATCAGATAAATGGCTTCAACCTTGGTTTTCTTCTGAGAAGAGCCAGGCTGTCAATAGTCGTAAAGTGCCTAGCAAGCCAGTTCAGCACAATTTTCGAGACTTATCAAATCAGCCCTTTCGTCAAAAAGCTAGCGAGTCAAGTTATCGGAAAACCATAGCACAAGCTCATTCAAGCAGAACACTAAGAGCAAGAAATCCCAAGGTAAAGTCAATAGACGAACCAAGGGGCAACCTGATAAATGACTCGCAACCAATTCGCCAAACATTTTACGGGGGCTGTCTCAGAGCGTATCTGAGACAGTGGCAGATGCTTCGGGCTCCGAAAGCCCTTCTCGAATTGATTACGGGAATGCGTCTGCCATTTACCTCCAAGCCACCACTCATTCTTCCTTCAATAAGAATGATGAAGCGGTTCGAGACCGCTCATACGCCAGAAATGTCAATTCAGATCAAGCAGCTATTACAACAAGGCGTTCTAGAAGTTGTGAAGCCACAGGATGTGGGTCCAAGTTTTCTTTCTACAATGTTCTTGACAAAAAAGAGCAATGGATCCGAAAGGCCAATATTCAATTTAAAGCGACTGAATTGTTTTATAATTCCGAAAACCTTCAAACTGATATCTCATTTTCAAGTTCCTCACTTCCTACAAAGGGAAGACTGGATGGTGAAATTGGACCTGTCCTCAGCTTATTTCCATGTGAACGTCACAAGGAGTCATCGGCGGTTTCTGAGGCTTGTTTACGACAACGTGATTATGCAAATGACATGCCTCCCGTTCGGGCTGTCATGTGCGCCCAAGGTCTTCTCAGCTCTAACGAACTGGGTAGCACAGTACCTGCGATCCAAGGGCATGCGAGTCATAGTTTACTTGGACGATTTTCTAATCGCATGTCAGTCGAAAAGTCAACTTCAAAGCCATGTAAGATCGGCAATAAGTGTTTTGGAGAACTTAGGATGGACAATAAACTACGAGAAATCCGAAATCGAGCCAGTTCAAAAAATAGAATATTTAGGGTTAGTCTGGGACACCAAAGCCAACTACAAAAGCTTACCAACCAAAAAGATCCAGAAGTTATTACTGATATTGAAGAGGACAGTACGGAGACTGAAAATGTCATTAAAGGAGGCTCAAATAATATTAGGAACTCTAAACTTTGCCTGTTTCGTTGTACCAAGAGGTCGTCTTCATTGCCGTCAACTTCAAATACATTTACGAAATCTGATGCACCTTCCATCCAACCGCAAACCAGTAGAAGTAACATCTGTTGTCATGAGAGATCTCAGGTGGTGGATTACTACTCTGCAGAGTCCAATAATTCGGAGCAGCCTGCATTGTCAGTTAATTCAACATTTTTTGACAACAGATGCAGCGGATTACGGGTGGGGGGCACAATTGGACGACCAGTTCATATCAGGAGGATGGACGCGAGCCCAACGTCACTGGCATTCCAATCGGAAAGAGATGTTTGCCTTAATAGCAGCCGTAAAACATTTTCGAAATCGGCTTCATGGTCGTCATTTGAATTTCCAATCGGACAATCGAACAGTGATATCTTATGTTCGAAGAGAAGGAGGAACACGATCAACAGCGTTGCTCCATATGACTTATCAACTCTTGGATTTGATAGACAAAGAAGAAATTTTATTAACAGCAGAGTACATTCCCGGGAAATTCAACAATATTGCAGACAGCTTATCCCGCGGGAAAAGGATTTCGGAATGGCATCTTTTACGACCCGCTCTCGTCAATATATTCCGAAAGTTTGGGATTCCCCAAATAGATCTCTTTGCAAGCAAGGAAACGAGAGTTGTGGAGCAATATGTTACCAAAGATTGTCTGGACTCTTCAGCACAATTTTGCAACGCATTCAGTCGTCAGTGGCAATACCAGCTGGCATGGGTGTTCCCACCACCAAGCTTAATACCTCGAGTTCTGCATCACTTAAACGCTGCTCGAGGAACATTTCTTTTAGTAGCCCCAATGTGGAAGAAGGCTTATTGGCTACCAGATCTCCGTCGACGAGCGCTGGCCAGACCAATGAAAATAACCAAGCTGGACCAAGTGCTAATAGATCAGATAACCGGCCTCCCACCACCTCACGTTCAGAACATGGATCTTTACGTCTGGAAGATAGCAGCTGGGGCGAGGTAACTAAAGCTTGGTCAGAAGCCGAAAAATCGCTTCTTAGAGCTGGCTGGAGAGAATCAACATTAAAAACCTATGGACCAGCATGGTCCCGATGGATGAAATGGTGTAAAAATAATAGTTTTGATTGCAACTTTCCTTGTGATGTTAGTCTCTCGAGATTCTTAGCATATCTTCACCTTGAAGAGAGATTAGCTTATCCGACTATATTGTTGCATAAGTCAGTAGTTTTATCTTTTGGGCAAGTCAAACACAATGAAAATTTGAATTCTAACTTTCTCGTTCGACATATTCTTAAAGCTATCTCTCTTCAAAGTCCAAAGTTACAGAGATCACCCATTTGGGACCCAAGTGACCTACTTGCCTGGCTGGAGCTGAATCCCCCGAACAATATCAGTTTGTTTGAAGCTTCCCGCCGCTGTGCATGTCTTTTGTTATTAGCATCCGGTAGACGCGTTCACGATCTTACTTTACTCAGAATATCTAATGACTGTTACTTTGACAATGACAGTCATATTATCCTTTATCCTGTATTTGGGTCAAAAACAGACACAGCTACATACAGGCAATCAGGTTGGAAGCTCTCTTGTCATAGCAATGAGAATATATGCCCAGTTAGATGGTTAAGAAAAGTAGTTGAGTTAGGCAAGACGAGGCGTACAGCCGAATGTAATGAGTCCTTGTTTGTGTCGATTAGAGGTGTCATGCAAAGTGCGTCGCGTACTGTTATTGGTAACTGGATTAAAACTGTTTTGAAAGACGCAGGCATTACGGCTTCTCCAGGAAGTTTGCGTTCGGCTGTAGCTTCTTTAAACTGGGTTAACAATTTTCCAATAGAAGAAATTATTACCCGTGGTAATTGGCAAAATAAAAATACATTTGCTAAATATTATTGTAAGCAAATCATAAGCAGAGCTAAAAGTCAATGTGTAGAGAGTTTTTCGAATAATTTTGAGCCAGTTTGATTTATTTCGCTAATTGTGGCTAAAAAGTCGAGTATAATAGAATCATTTATATTATTGCTGATTTATTGTGATTCTGATTTATAATAAAACGGTGTTACTCATGTGTCTTTTTTGTTCTTGCAGCCTTTGTGCATCTAATTTAGTTTTCTTCCTCACATAGCGTCATTGTGGTCACCAGGAGTTATAAACACGTCTCTCACAGATGCTGTGCATCGTCACATCCCAAATAATAGTACAAGTTTTACAAAACAATAAAACTTGTATTATTAAGGAGAGACGATGCACAGCATCCATTCAAGTTCTCCTGGTGAGAGACTTCTATGAGGTAAGAACGTTCGCCTTTGGCGCCCTGCCACCTGGGACCACGTGATTTTAAGCAAGGCGTTGATTGGTCGAAAATATCAAGAGGAAGTCGTAAGTGATTGGCTAATAAAAGGGAAGTATACAGCGCCCTCTCACAGATGCTGTGCATCGTCTCTCCTTAATAATACAAGTTTTATTGTTTTGTAAAACTTGTACTATTTTGACGGGTGAATTTTCGATTGAAAATTAGGGTGCTTTGCGATTAAAATTCAAAATAAGGTGAAAAAATAAATATTTTTAATCAAATAAATTACAGCGTATTTGGGACATAAAAAGGTAAGTTTTCACCAAATTTCGTTAAAACAAAAACATTTTTGTAAAAGATAAAAATAAAAAACCAAAAGCTTGGTTTTTTGAATTTTTCACATAAATTTTGAGGTTATGTGAAAAAAGTGTAAATACAAAAGTTTTAGATCTTTTTATTACCTACAACTTTGCCATTGGATTTTTTTCGATAGGACTTTTAGTTTTGCCGGAAATCGAGAAAAACCGTTTTTTACCCTTAAAAGCTCCCCCCCACCCTCTTCCCGACCTCAGATCGCCCGTAAATAATTTTTCCTTTCATTTTTATAATATTCCCCTCCTTTTCTAAAGGGTTGCATCCTACTATTATTTTTTTTGGTTTCAAAAATTATCGACTCTGGTCTAAATATATAGTAAAAATATACTGTAAAATGAAATTATTGGACACAAAAATTCATTACAACTCACAAGCGCTATTAGAAATTAAAAAAAACAAAATCATTTTTTATCGGTTTTCATATATTTAAATAGATTACAGTAGAGAAAATATTACTGTTTAGACTATATAAAATATAGTGACAATATAAAAAAAAGTTTAATGCATACATAAATCATTATAAAAATTACAATCCGTTCGTTATAGGATGTCAAAATATATAAACAATTAATCCATATTTATTATAACACTTACATTTGGCAAGCTTACAGTTTACAGCTTATTTGATCACGAGGATATTCGTGACATGTACATGTGCAATCGTAGGAACAAACAACTCATTTACACAAACGAAATTTATACGAAATCTTCTCATTTGTTTACGTTACGTAAATAAGAATATGCCGATTCAAATTTAGGTATAATTAGAAATGAATACTCAGAAAAATATGTGACGAAATTATACGCAGCCACTAGAATTTAACGTATTACAGTAAACACAAATACTAGTAAGTAGATAAATATTAGTCTACACTAAAATTACAAAATTCTTTGCATATTTCTTTGTTTGTTTAAACGCGTTTATCTCTGAAACTATCAGTCAGAGTTGTAAAATTCTTTTTTCATTTTATAGCTTATAATTATATCTATTTACATTTACAGTATAAAGATAATAATATTTGTAAAATAATAAAGATAATAATATTACCAAGGGATAAAGTTTGTAAGTTTGGGTGTAGATTACTCTAATCTCAGAAACGACTGATTCAATTCTCGAAATATTTCTACTAATAGGAAGCTACATTATCGCAGACTATGTGCAATAAGTTATTTTTTTATTCCGATAAAAATTGTTTACTGTTAGAAATCATAATAACTTGCTTGCTGTCTAAACGTTTTAAAATAAAGCAATAAAATGTATCTTCCCTCGGGTTCGCTTCTTGGAAAATTTATCCCACGGGAACCGTACAATTTTTCGGGATAAATTTGGCATATGTGTTGTTCAAGACTATAATCTATCTCTGTGCCAAATTTCATCCAGATCCGTTCAGCCGTTCTGGCGTGAAAGAGAAAAAAAACCATACTCACAAACTTTCACATTTATAGGTAATATTATTATAGACAAATAGTCGCTAGAATTATATAAATACATATTGAAATTACGTTAATTATAAATTTTATACATATATTAAATACATATAAGTCTAGTTAGTTACATAAGTTTTCATACTTGTAATTTCATATATAATCTGCGCTTATATGTAAGTTTCAAAATTTGCCCTATTCTAAAGCTTTGTCACAGTGAGAAATGCATGGTAACTATAACTGAAACACAGCTTGTTAACCTAGTTCAGGTAGGTTCCGAATTGTATTGTGTCCTTGGTCATTTATGTATATAGTATGTACTAAATAAAGTTTTTTTTTGTTTACCTTTAAGTTTATTGAGCAGGAAGGATTTCCCCGAGCCCCAGCGGGCGTATAGCCCCACCGTGATGGGCACGGACAGGCTCGGCTCCGACAGCATGTCGGCGAGGGCGGCGCTGTACAACTCGTAGCCGAGCATGTTCTCGTTATCTTCATTCGTATTCAACTTCCTAGCACCGAATATTTGACCTAGTATCGTCTTGTTGTAACTCATGTCTATATTGTATGGAGTTTCCTTCATTTTATTCGGCTTGTACAGCAGCTGACTGTTCTTAGGATTTCGTAGCAGTATTTCAACTATTTGCTGGGAAAAATCAAAATATAAATTATTGTATGTCAATTTCAGTATGTTATATAAGAGTAAAGAACCAAAGTGCTTCAATGAGATTGATCATAAGCGAAAATAGGTAAAAAGGACATTATAATTTATATACATATTACATAATATGTTTTAACAAAATCACTTTGGTCATACAGAACATTAGTAGCACATCGGTAGCGCGCTCGTTTGTGATGCTCAAGCATAGGGATTCCAACTAGAATCTCTGAGATTTCCTTGTATGAATCTCGTTTTCATTTGTTTGAATACAATTTTCTAATAAAATGAAGGGTTCCATGCCTGACAGTAGCGAACTAGTTTCGGAAAGTCATGTGAAGTTCATCAATCCAAGCCTGACTTAATTCTCCATGTATTGAGAAGCCAGCGGATGGACATTAAAATGGCTAAATATTTTTTAACGTAATTGTCGGACTTCTTACTAAGGAGTCCTTAGGTACTTAAGAGTAGTAGCAGTGTTACTCTAAGTCATAGTTTATCTGTGTACTAATCATTTAAATCTGTTTGATGAACGTGTAAAACAAACGCAAACATACAAAATTTAACATTTACAATAGTACTCCTATATATGTACACCTCCGTTATTCTTTATCGCCTCCTTTGTTTTAACTTATTCTTTGCCTTGAACAAAATAAATCTATACATCTTTATAGATAAATAAAATTGAAGTGTCTGTTTGTAATGTTAAAATAACAGCTTTTTACTAAATGCATATGGAATTATATATGGTACATAAGAAAAACACAATTTTTAATTTTTTTGTCTCATCTGTCTTGTCTGTCTGTTTGTTCCGGCTAATCTCCGAAACGGCTGGGCCGATTTTGACGGGACTTTCACTGGCTACTGTTATTTCAGTAAAAAAAATAGGGTTCGGCTCAAAAAAATTAAAACGCACCTAGGGACGAACCCGAGCGAAGCGAGGGTTGTCGCTAGTAAATGAATAAAACGTTGATGTCTCGCGTGTACCTTGGAGCGCGCGCGCATGGCGATGTGCAGCGCGGTGTCGCCGCGCGCGTCGGCGGCGGCCACGCGCGCGCGCCGCTCCAGCAGCAGCGCCACCAGCTCCGCGCTGCGCGCCCGCACCGCGCGCAGCAGCGCCGTGTCGCCGCTCTGGCAGGCGCACAAACATCAGTATAGGTATATGTATACATAAATCTAATATATAAAATTCTCGTGTCACAGTGTTTGTAACGAAACTCCTCCGAAACGGCTTGACCGATTCTTAAGAAATTTTGTGTGTATATTCAGTAGGTCTGAGAATATCACGTTACCTATTTTTCATACCCCTAAGTGATAGATACATTGTAGTGTGCAGCAGCAACGTGTCATCGCTGTATCTTACACACACGCACGCACATATATTATTTACACTGTACATACATACATTTATATAATTTGAATATCTAGCTTATACAACGTGCAGTTACAGTATAAAAATCCATACATTAGACGATTGATTTCAAGGATCTGTGCTCAACTGCTCTATAAATCCTTTAACAATAAAATTGAATTGAATTAATTTTAACGGAATGCTGTCAAATCTTGTATTTCAGAAATACAATTTCTTTAAAGAACGGTTCGAAATTTAGACGCTGGCCGTGTCGTAGCAAATTTCATTTATACTCGTCGTCAGCCGTTTCCCGACAGTCATATGAAAGTAAGTGTGACGGGCGCAAGATTTTATATGAATTGCAAATTTTATAATATAATAGTTAAGTATAACTTATCACAAACACGTTTAATTTTATTTTTAGAAGTATAGAACAACAACTCTTTAGTTATAATCGGCAATCGAACCCAGTGTTTCAGTTATAACAAAACAAACATCCATCACCACCCACTTCCTGAATCCAATATCAGGTCAGCTTTGTCATTAAAGTTTGAGACAAATTTTCAGTACCTAAGATAAAATTAATAGTTAGTTACTTGTGAAGGTAATTGGACAGAAGCGTATTAAAATCACTTACATTTGTGCAATGTTCCAAATCTGGATTGGAAGCTAATAGAAGTTTCAGTATGGCTACGTGTCCCTTCTCTACGGCGGTGTAGACGGGGGTCTTTTTCTCTTTGCCCGGCAAGTCCACGTCCACATGTTTCTTGAGCAACGCTTCCACTATATTCTTATAACCGCCTTTCACGGCATAAATTAAGGGCGTATCTTTGGAATGATCCTGAAATAATCAAATTTATTGCCAATTATTATTCAATGTTTAGTGAAAACGATAAAGTATAATATTTACTTGTACCTCATCGCCATGTCTCATTCATTTCTGTCCACATTCAATTTATTACGCGTGTATATAATCAATTAGATAGTCGTTAAAATCTTGTCTTAACTCTAAATTTATAAGTCATAATGTATTTACCGGAAAATTTGCGACAGATTAATGTCACAAATTTATTGAGTGAAGCGTCAAAATTGGCAACCTCTTATATCGCCCAAGGCTGTTTGACGCTGCAGCTGTCGCATCTAATATGAATGATTGATTAGCACAAACTTAGCATTTCTAGCTCAAATAATGATTGGCACTTAAACAAATCTGATATTCTTCTTTATTACTGTATTTAATTAGAAAGTATAAAGGTTTCTAATCTTTGTCTATTTTCTACTGTTTTTAATCAAGTGTAATAATTTAATACGAATTTATTTACCTGAACATTAATATAAGCTCCTGAATTTATTAAGGCTAATGCAATGTCATAAAAGCCTTCCTTGCAAGCGATCGCTAAGGCTGTACATCCGTCCTTATCTAAGGCGTTTACGTTAGGCTTGTATTCCAATAACATCTGCACTATTTCAAAATGGTTACCTGAAACATAAATATAGCATATCTAAAATATACTTTATAATCTTGCAAAACTTTTGTATACCAAAAACCTTCGATCAACAATACTACTAGAAAACGTGTCACACATAAAATCAAAGCTAAATTCTGTTCGCGCGAATATGTACTTATACAGCTACATTTGTATACTAACGAACCAAGACAAAGTCTTATAACAGTTTCAATTTTCAACCTAATCAACATCATAGCTTGTAATAAAGTCACAAATCTTCAAATTATCATAATACGCTTAAAAACGCGTAAAAAGTATCCTATATGTTGACCCGGATAACCAGCTATCATCATACTAAATTTCATCAAAATCTCTTCAGTGGTTTTTCCGTGATGCCGTAACAGTCAGACAGACATACAGACAAAAAATCTAAAAACTATAAATTCGGCTTCTGTATCGATAATAATGTCTATTTCAATAAAAATTTCCAAAAAATATTTAATGTGCAGATTCGGCTTAGTCACAATTTTATTATAATATCTATAGACAACAACAAGTTTTGGAGTCTTTATTGATGATACAATAATTAATAATGTCCATCCTTAACGTGAACCTTTTTATTAAGGACCGTTTTTACATAGTATTATATTATATATTTTATTTGGGAAATGGGCAGGGAGAAGAAGAAGAAGAAGTTTTTACATAGTATAATATATATATTTATACATTTTTAAAACTATATATTTTAGATTTGATAAGATCTAGGGAAGTATGGCGGAGAACTGTAAATTATACATGTTTAGCAAAAAAGCCTGTTAAAATCAAAAAAGTTGAGAGGAGGAAGTTCCTTTCATTGTCTGCCTTTGGAGTTTGGCTCATAAATCAGGTCATAAAAACGTCCCAAGTACTAGGTAAACGTATATTCTTTAAGACTTATGATCGCCTGGTACTTACGATGACGTCACATAGGGCGTAAATAATATAAAGTTTTGTGACAGTCGAAAATCGAAATATTACACTTTTTCCGTCTAGCTATCGTTTAACAACATCAAGTATGCCGAGTATAACGTGCGATAAAGAACTTCGTTCTAATAAACAATGGAATTTTAAATAACTAAAAAATATATAGGGCTTATCTATACCACGAGGTAATTCTAACAATAATTTTGCTCATTAAAAAGCTATAGGCAAATTAATGAGTATAAATCGTCTTAACGAAATTGGCAACAAATACGCGATAAATAAGTATACATATAAGACTGCCAATTGTCATACAGTTTAAATAGCATACTATAGCAATATAACTGATAAGATAATGAAAAAAATAAACTATATTCTTATAAAATACATTAAATATTAATATTGAAATGTGATAAGTGATCTAGTTTATTGTTAGACGAGTTCGTTGTATATGAGTAAGAGATATGTAAGTTTGGCTAACAACCAACTCTGGCGTAAGTCTGTCACTGAACTGTCACGACTAAATGTTGTTTTGCTGGAGCATCAACAACAAAATCCTATTCTTTTGACATTTGGCAACTGGCGTAGCATACTCGCTTCTGTTTATCTCAATCTAAACCAACGTTTACACGCAACGACAATATTAATTACACTGATTTACTTAGTAATACACATTTATTAGTATTTAATTTGTATCAGTAGCTTTTTGCGACACACAATTTCCTAAGGGATCGCAGACGCATTTATATTTTGGTAAGTATCGTATTAAATTTGAAAATGAATTATATGTATACTGCTAATATTAAAATGCAAAAATGAGTTTGTTGTGCCCTGTTAATATATCTCAATAATTCGGAATGAAACAGTCAAAACTTATGTTATAGAGAAGACCGGAAAAAAGAAGAAGACTGGTTTTTTTATATTGGTCTATTACGTAGTTTTCGAGCAATAACTGATAAAATGATAAAAAATAATTGATGTTCCACAATCCGAATTCAGGCAAGAGCAAGAGCGATTCCTGAAAGAACTTAAATGAAAAGTGAAAACCTGCTATACCCTCATCTTCTTTTTAAGGCATTTTCATCGTATTTGTATAGCGTATGACACTATGAAAAACTTGAATAATGTACATACCTTTTTCATAAAGATATATAACAAATGATTTAATCGTATCACAATAAACCCACTAATATACCTAATGAAAGGGAAATTAATTAGATATTTTATCGGATATCTAATCCGTCCGTCTTCAACGTTAAGAAGTAACAGATACTTAACATCTTTGCAGCTTAACAGAACGCTGTAAAATTTGAAAATGGGATAGCTTAAATCTTGCATGAATACATAAGAGAACATATTTAAAAATTCTAAAATATATAATTATACCATGTGTAGCCTGCAGCAACGGCGTCCAGCAGTACATGCCAGCGTTGTTAGCATCGGCGCCGGCCCGCAAGAGCGCGGCGCACGCCGCCGCGTCGCCCGCGCGCGCCGCCCACGTCAGCGCCGATGTGGCGTACTTGTCGCACGAGTTGGCGCGCGCGCCCGCCGCCAGCAGCCGCGACACCACCGCGCTGTGGCGACGCCCCGCTGCCCATACTAGTGAGCTACATTTCAATTCTCATGTTAATGGCTTCAACACGCGCCAATTGAGCACAGATTACCTTTGACACGAGGTAGATTGGTCGAGAAATAAGATTATGGAGCTTACGTTATTTATACTATTTTATGTGACGGCATAGCGTTTTTGAAATAACTACACAGGCATTAATTAAAGTTTAAAAATCCATACAAAAAAGGCGATCGCCTATTGATTTTAACAAAAAAACTCACTCAAATACAAGAGTTGTCAACATTGTTGACAACATATCAATTATCAGTTTTCATGGCAATCGATTTCAAAGTTACATTATTGTAGTGTTATCTCGTATCGTCTGCAAGTTGTAGTTACTGCAGTCAACCCTAAAGCGTTTGCCCAATTGTCATATAACAGTAAATATGACAGTCGGGTACACCCCACCAGCTTCTGACCTCGCACGACCTTTTTTTTTTTTTTTAACGTTGGGAAATGCATTTACGCACGACGTGTGGGACTCACCGGCGTAATACAGCCAGTACTACCCACTAAAACCCAACAAAACCATCCCCCGTCTTAATGGGGCGTCGCAGGATCGCTTACGCATTCAACTACGACGCCCCGACGGCAGGTCTGCCAAAGCAGACCACCACAACCATGGGGTTGCTCCAAGGTCCACTCGCTATCAGAGAAGTACCAGGAGCAACCCGCAAGGTACACCGCCCCCCGAAGAGGGCCACCTCCCACCGCCCACCGAAGTGGGCAACCTCCCTGTGCGTTTCTTAGCTTCGCTACTACTAATGAGCCCCCCCACCACGACAAGGTGAACGCACGTTGGGGGGGGACCTCGCACGACCTACACAAGTCCCGTCCTGTCTAAACGCCTTCGTTAGAAAGAACGCATAAATGCTGTTTTGGTTACATAATAGGCGCAAGTTATTGATAACCTTATTTTAAATGTCTAAATTTTGAAAAGGTCATGAGAAACGTCATATTTAGATGAGAGGAAAATCGTTAAAACATTTTAAATGAGACTATTTAAATAACAATAGGTACTTATTTAAATACAAGTGGAACTGGTGACATTTTTACAACGTACACAACATTCTTTATTGCATATAAATATGATCCTCTTAATAATAGACATATAATATATTAAATAGATTACGTGAGATATAATGTATTTACGAGTATATATTATGTACGTACTTGATATTATAGTTTCCATGTGCGTGGACATCAGCCCCTTTTTCTAGAAGCAATGCTACTACTTCTTCGTGCCCTTTGTAAGAAGCCCACATGAGGGGTGTCCACCCGCCCTACAAAGAGATACTTAAAGTAGCCAAATACAATTAAAAGCTCTTGCTTGGTGAATAAAAGTATAAAATTAAAAACGATTTGTTGATATTAAAATTTAATAGTAGTTTGTAGATAATCTATACATATAATAAAATTATAACTGAGCCGAATCTGTATATGAAATATTTTTTGGAAAATCTTATTGAAATAGACATTATTATCGACATAGATACCGAATCTATAGTTTTTAGAATTTTTGTCTGTCTGTTACCGCATCACGGAAAAAACCACTGGAGGGATTTTAATGAAATTTGGTATGATGGTAGCTGGTTATCCGGGTCAACATATAGATACTTTTTACCGCGAAAATGTCTCATTTCTGGAAAAAAAAAACAAAAACTGTAATGTAAGAGTATACTAATATGTAAAACCTAAGAATTTGGTTTTTGGTCATCTGAACGCGAGCGGAGCCGCGGGCAATGCTAGTTTATTATAAGGATTCAGTGAAAACATTGGCAATAATTATAATTAGTAGAGCTGAAAAATATATAAATACTAGCAGAGCCCGCGACACGACGCGAGCCTACACCCGCGTTCAATATACAAAAAACTCTTTGGCTTTATGTTATAAAGCGACTCCCCCTCGCTTCGCTCGGGTTCGTCGCTGTGTATTTGTCTAATTTTCATTGTTCATACAAAAATACTAAAATCGCGATTAAAAATGTGGGGTGAGGGTAGGAGGAGAAAATCATTAAAATCGGTCGAGTCGCTTTGGAGGAGTGCGACCACAAACGCCGTGACACGAGATATTTATGTATTAGATTTTGTTTTTATTCTAAAAAAGAAAAATATTCTATAGGTGGTAGTTGTGTATTTAAGCAGATTTAAGAATGTGGGGATGTCGCTGCTTTCTTGGCAATGGTCCACCACAAGTATAAATATACAAATTTACATGCATCGTCCAGAATACACTTGGTCATTGCTCTATTATAGTTATTTGGGTCACTCTCTGTCAAACAATCCTTAAAAATGACTGTAACTGAATTATTTGATATCATTTTACAAGGTTTTTAAGGTAACGATATACAATACCAATAATATTACTTACTGAATCTTAACATTAATACATATATCCCGAATTTATGTATATCTAGTATAATGTATTAATACCAAAATTAACCAATATACTTACACAATCCCTGGAATCAATACGTGCTCCTGCATCGACAAGCTCTTGTACGACTGGTAGGTGTCCTCCCTTAGCTGCGAAGGCGAGAGGTGTCCAGCCATCGGTGTCGGCTGCGCATGCGTCCGCGCCCGCGCCGAGAAGCAGCCGCGCCGCCGAAACCCGCCCGTTCTCACAAGCACACATAAGCGCCGTTGTACCGTTCTGAAATGATTAACAAATGTATAACGCATGGAATGGCATTACAATGTACCCAAAACAGGAATCGCATTTGCAACTCAGGTATAGTAAAAAGTAAACATTTTTTTGTTGAGCAAAAAAAATTTCGATACAATGTATCAAAAATTTACTTACATACAAATATTCCTACTACTAGTTCATGTACTCCAGATAGATCATAAAGAGACGATAGAGTAGATTTTAATGGGAGAATATAAAATGTTAAGAGTAACTAAGTTATAGAATCAGTTAAAAGAAAATAAACTTCGAACAAATGGCAAATATGCCATCATAATTAATTGTAATCACCATTATATTATAATGGTAAAATAATATAATTTGTTTATAAATCTATATTAGGCTTTATTTTCTGTGCACTTTTTATGTTGAAAATAAATTAATAATAATAAATATGTTGGGACATTCATACACAGCACCATCTAGTTCCATGATAAGCTACGAGGCTTGTATTATGGATACCAGATAGTTGATACACCACATATATAAATATATATAACTTTAAATACATACATATTATGAATATAAACCTCCACTGGATTGAAGTACAAACATTCATGCTCATCACACAAATGAATGCCCCCAGCGGGACTCGAACCCGCGACCGCTGGTACAATAACTGTCGTCAAATATTACATTTAATAGATAAATATATAATAAAAGTACCTCATCTCTATCATCGACATTGATATTCCTGTTGGAGGATAGATAGTTTTGTAGTTCGTTGCCATCACTGTTCACCAACTGAGATAGAGTCTTGAAGCACGCCAGGGAAACCATCGACTCGCTCCGGTGAAGGCTCTGTTGTTAAAAATAAATATAAAATACTTGTAAAAATATAACTTTATAAATTAGTAAAAAATATATTATAACTGTTATAATTAACTAAATATCACGCATGTGCGAAAAGGATAAAAAGGTACTTCATAATAATACTTGAAATGCATTAATTAACAAACGAGCATGAGAATAATAACATGTTAGCTTGCAAATGATAGCTGTTATAATGTTTTGTTTACAATAACTTGTAATTAATTATAAATACGACATTTGCTAATAACAATAAATATAGCATTCTTTCCTTATTTTAACACTACGCGTTTCCATGTTAGTAACAGTGAACTTTTAAACTTCCTTCTTTAAATTTTAATTCTTATTTATGGGAAACTTTTCTTTAAAAAACCATCCATGCATTATTAGATATTTTTACACAACAAGCAAAAAAAGTATTTTAGTATTATTGTTAATTAAGATACACCTCATTTGCTTGAATACTCCAGCGTAACATATTTACTCCACTGTATATTAATTTTTTACATAAATAATAAAAACGTGATGAAAATAAACTGCAGAAAATTTAACAAAACTTGTAATACGTTTGCACGGTACTGTTCACAAAGCCTATAATGAATAATTTAAAATTATTATAGATATAATGATAAAGACCAGATATCACGAGGTAACTTGACGTAAACATTGTCTTTCTGCGTTTAAATTTGCTTATTATTTATTCTCCGTTATTTATTAATACGCTTTATCCTTTAACTGATAAGGTTATGTAGAGGTTCGTATAACTAGCGTACAACTAGTTCATTCACTTTAATCAAGTAACACGACAATTTACTAGTCTACATGTATTGGTAGGTACTTCAGTAAAAATGTTATTAAAAAATAATTCATACTATATCTTACATGTAACTTTAAATTATATAGACTGTAACATTTTACACTTAATCAACAGTGAAATATTTTTTTTTATTTACGAAAAAAACCACAAATATATTATGTGCGTTTTATAAATCCCAAAACATGCACAACATTAGTAAATAAACACGTATGTATTTTGTTTACGACAGCCATTCAGTGTTATTTATTGCTTAACACAACACTAATAACAATTAAATTAATAATTTAATCGCAGACCGTGTTAGAATGGCGACGGAGAGCGAACCCATGGAAGGGGAAGCCATGACTGAACCGACGGTGTTCTCCTGGCGGCGCCGTGACGGTGAACCGCGGCACGTTGAGATGAGGTCCTGCAGACAAGGGGCCTGTGGTCGGTTCACCTTTAACATGCAGATGCAGAAACGAAGGCCTCCTCCGTTTTTGCACTAAAGGAAGCGCCAGCATTGCGCCAGCAAAACTATTGCTTTTTGCACGTTGTGGCGGCGGACCTCCTTCTATAATATTGACTTCAGTGACGTCAGCGTTCTCGGATCTATCTGAAAGCTCGGACACTGAACAGCTCCGATCCGTATCCGACGATGGAGGTGATTCTTGAACCACCTCCAAAGGCGATTCTGATGACACCGGGGGCCTAGACACATTTTTCGGTTTATGTATATTCGCAATGAGACATCGGATATGAACGTATTCATCACCGGTTTTTGCTTTAGGTAGTTCGGGCATTTGAGACATATCGCGACGGTCGGCATAATAATATGAGAGCTCCGCACGACGTCCCGTGACAGATATGCGAGAACCGTGACTAACCCGCTTGGGAAACTCACACTGTCTCGCGTGATCACGATGGGCGGATACTATTTAGAGCGCTCCGTAGTGAGAGCGGGCGGAGGGCGGGCGCAATGAATGAACGCTTTGGATACGTACTAAAGAATATGTACTGTAAGTTCCTAACGAAAGCCGCTTGATAATCGCGGAGGTGGTGCGATGGACGGCTCGCTCTGAAGGCAGCATTTCGCTCGGAGGCCGGACACATTATGCCGGAACGTATAATATGATGTAGTAGCAGCGCTGGAGTCGAAGCGCTCCCCGCCGAAGTTGTTAGTAACTTTTTCCTTTTTTAAATATATTTTTTCAATTTATACATTATATGCATGAGATGACCTTTTTTGTAATGTGCCAATCATTGTGCTATGTTTCATTAAATCCAAACTGGTTAGCTCACGATGCATAGTTGTATCCGGAAATTATTAGACGAAAAATAAATTAGTAAATTTTATTTTATTCTGCGGTGAAGGTACATCGTGTAGGAACACTATATGGTATAAAAAGATATTAGAGACCATCATTCATAACCGACAAGATGATAATATCCGGCATTTTATTCCGCATAAAAGCATTAATCGGTGCACGATTTATACGATAAATAGGTACTCTAAATAAATAATGTTTTAAAATTTACGGTTTATAAGTTACATAAGTCAATCTACCTGCTTCATTACGATGGAGTAAGAATTCGTCTACTTCATTCCTATTATGTTCATATGAACCAGTTTGTACGATCTAGTTAGTGGTATCATAATATCAGAATAAGCAAAAGGAGTAAAGGTTAAGATCCGCGACGCATGTAAAGCAAAAAATACTAACGGGGATTACAGGATTCCGCCCAGTCGAGCGACACACGGCTGTCACGGTTACCTATCACTCGCCTGGAGAGCTTTCGTGTGACCGTGCGACAGCTACTCATAACAATATAATACGTAGATACATATATATTGTGCAATTTTGATTTTTATCCCCATCCGGTTACTTTTATAAGTATACCATATTACAGGATATTAAAATAACATAAAGAGGTATACCTAAATAATGTCTAATAAATAATAAAAAATATAATCATATTTTTTTTAAAAGATGTTAGAATTGCTTCGATATAGCATTTCTAGCTTTATTATTAAATCTAATTATTACAGCTCTTGCAAGAGTAAAACTTTAGAAATAAAATAAAACCGACTTCCAGGCACTAAAATGTAAAAAATAACTAAACGGGGGTTTTCATTTAGAATAGATACCTAATCAGATATTTTCGAAGTCGGTGCCAGCCGACGCATAAGAAATCTAATATATTTTGATACGTTAAATACATATTTATTTACCTATTAGATATTCATATCTTAAAATATTGTCTGCTGGCACCGACTTCGAAAATATCTGATTAGGTATCTATTCTAAATGAAAACCCCCGTTTAGTTATTTTTTACATTTTAGTGCCTGGAAGTGGTTTTACTTATTTTTTTTTTAAAGTTTATTTTTATATTTTTAGTGTACACTTTATAAGCAGGTAATTTGTAGGAAGAAACTTTTTAATAACATATACGATTAAACAATTTGTTTAAAAAAATATTTATTGTTGATTTTTTTAAAAACCGCTCGACCGATTTTGATAAAATTTATATGGGACCACCTGGGAAGTATACTCTTTCAAACAAATTATCTCAGATCTATCTCTGCAAAATCTATTAACACCAATAGTGAAGGTGATGTCGTTATCTATATACTAATCTATACTAATATTATACAGAGGCAGAGTTTGTTTTTTTGAAGGCGCTAATCTCAGGAACCACTAATTCGCTTTGAAAAATTCTTTTTCAATTAAATAGCCCGTTTATTGAAGAAGGCTATAGGCTATATACTCGTATATCATAAAATATGTAATCTATTCCGTACTAACCATTTAAACATACCTAGGGACGAACGAGCGAACGAAGCGAGGGTGAGTTGTAAGTATATAGTATGTAAGTCTGAAGAATTTGATTGTTTCAACGCGCCAATATCTTAAACTACTAGTTTGATTTGAAAAATTCTTTTTGCATTTTATAACTTCTTTATTGAAAGAGGTTATAAACTACTTCGTTAGATCATATTAGATCACGGTACGACTTTTAGGAGCGTAGCAATAAACACAGGAGGTACCGCGGACATACTACAGGCTAGCAGTTTTAAAATCATTTAATCTAAAGGAGGATGGAGTCGATATAAGTAAGGAGGATGAGATTTATATATAAAAAATTTTTTATTAAATATTGCGAAAAGATATTTCAGTTAACATTTGTTATTGTTTGTAATTGTTCACTAGAAAATATTGTAAGTTTAAAATGGATTACATATTATGCATAAACTAAACTAGAGTAGAAATTTAATTTTAATTAGGTAGAGAAGTAAATCGAATTAAAAAAATAATACCGCAATTTTTTACCCAACTACGCCAGGAGATGGAGGGTTATGTCTCAATTCTTTTAGTAATTCGTCATATTTAAAAAAAAAAATTGCGTATTTCAAAGCATATAATATTTCTCAGAAGGGGGTCAATCAATTGCGTTTTTGCGTTTTCAGTCCTTTTAGCGTCCCACTGCTGGGCACGGGCCTCCCTTCAATAGTCATATAGGGGATCAGGCCATAGTCCACCACGCTGGCCAAGCGCGGGTCAATCAATTAAAGAAATATAAATAAATATGTTGCGACATTAACACACAGCACCATCTAGTTCCATGGTAAGCTACGAGGCTTGTGTTATGGATACTAGATAGTTGATACATTACACATACATACTTATATAACATGAAATACATATATATTATAAATATAAACATCCATGACTGTAGTACAAACATTCGTGCTCATCACACAAATGAATGCCCCCAGCGGGACTCGAACCCGCAACCACTGGCACCGCAAGTAGAGTCAATACTAACTGAACCACAAGCGTCGTCAGTTCAGACTTGTATTTGAGAGCCTGATTTATTTTTAACATATAATATTTATTTTTTAGTTTCTTTATAGGATTGTGTCATACCACAATTTTATAAGCACGAATGAATGAAAAAGTTTTTATATTATATTTATATAGTATTTATAATATAGTATTATATTATATAGTATTTATAAATAATAGAAATGAGAAAGTTTTTATACATTTTTTGGTAATCTTTTACGGCCTTAAGCGAACCAATGACCAATTACATTTCCTCAACATGCAGAGGTTATACGTGATTAATAAGACCTTCTTTTTTTCTCTCTTTATTTTAAAGCGGATGAAGCTGATAATAATTTAAATTATAAAAGGAACGTCAAACTGAAGTTAAATGATTAGGAACAAAGAATTATGGACATAAAGTTATAATTACTTCTTATAAAGAAGGATATTGACAATCTAAAATGAATAATACAAAATTAAATCTACAAAATGCCATTACTCAAAGTTACGTGTAACAGAATAAATAAAGTTATACCGAGAATTTAATTTCTAAACACTGACCTGACCATATGTCCGTATAAAAGAAGCCGCGCGAAGCATTTCGCCGAAACGTCACCAGACGTTGATCGATTCCAAGGATGTTAATCCGATATTAATTTTTGTATGTTATAATACATTCGTATAATATCATATTCTACACACGATACACTAATGCCGATACAAAATAACGGGCAGCTCCTGGGCTTAATCAACTTTTATATAATGATAGCGAACTAAGATTGTTGATTCTGGGATAAAACAGTTTTCTTTGAACACAAAGATTTACCTGATAACTCGTAATTTTCTTACACCATAATTTACTCGTGGCCCATAAAGCAGCAGATAATACAGTTTACCGTTAAACCTTGATATAGCTGATTACACAGTTAACTCGAAAATTTTCAATGTCATATTTGTCCGATAAATAAGTTGCAAATTATAATTGTATTTTTCGTATGTTATCTTATTAATTATATACATATATACAGTGCAGTCTTTTTAAGCTAAAGGGGGTACAGGTACCTAATTTAATGGGAAAATTATTTAAATTTGTTTTTATATATATTTCACGCTAAAACGGCTGAACGGATTTGTATGAAATTTTGAACACCGATAGACTATAACCTTCAGGTTACTCCAGTAATACATAGGCTAGACTAGGCACCTAGACAACAAACAACCCCCGAAACGTGCGTTCACCTTGTCCTGGTGGGAGGGGGCTCAGTCCAGCCGTGCGCGAAGCCAAGAAACGCACAGGGAGGTGGCCCACTTCGATGGGCGGTTTACCATGCGAGTTGCTCCTGGTACTCCTCTGTCGGCAGAGTGGACCGTTGGAGCAACCCCATGGCTGTTGTGGTCTGCTTCGGCAGCCCTGGGCGTTCGTCTGCTTTGGTGCGTTGTGGTTGAGCGCATAAGCGATCCTGGGACGCCCCATTAAGGCGGGGTGAGGTTCCGTTGGGTTTTAGTAGGTAGTACTAGCTTTGCCGGTGAGTCCCACACCTCGTGCCTGAATGCATTTCCCAACGTTAAAAAAGGCACCTAGAAACATACACACTCAAGAAAAAGGCGAGTGACTTGTCTTTATAATTTATATCAAATCTATACATATAATAAAATTGTAACTAAGTCGAATCTGTACATTAAATATTTTTTGGAAAATCTAATTGGAATAAACATTATTATTGATACAGAGTCCGAATCTACAGTTTATAGAATTTTTGTCTGTCTATCTGTCGTCTGTCTGTCTGTCTATTTGTCTGCCTGTCTGTCTGTCTGTTACCGCATGACGAAAAACCACTGGACAGATTTTGATAAAATTGCTATGATGATAGCTGGTTATCGGGGTCAACATATAGGATACTTTTTACCACGGGAAAATATCTCATTTCTGAGAAAAAATACAAAAACTGCATTCTAAGAGTATACTAATAATATGTAAAACCTAAGAATTTGGTTTTAGTCATCAAACGCGGGCGGAGCCGCGGGCAATGCTAGTGTAAGTATATTAATGAATTACTAATGTTGTAGTCACTATAATAACAATAGTTATTCATTATTTTAGCTTAAGTGAAGGTTTTTCCTCATTATTCTCAACTTGAAATCGCAAACACACCTTCTACCAACTGTTTTTCATACATTTAAAACATCAAAAAAAGTATTAGTAAAAAGCATCAGCATTTTTGTTGTAACAGCGTAATGAAAAGAGTAATATTATACGCCACGCCGGTGCATCATGTACTGAATATTTGAATTTTAAATTGTACCTATGTGTTTATGATAATTTTCAAAATACCGAAAGTTTATTTCTTTCACTTCGAGTTTTTATTGTGGCATTCACATTGAATAAAGATTAAAATTATATATATTCAAATATATAACATTTTTTACACGTATCTATCCATGTATATACATGTATGTATGTAAGTGTGTATTCAGCCCTTTTTATCGTCCCACTGCTGGGCACGGGCCTCCCTTCAGTACGAGGGGAATCAGGCCATAGTCCACCACGCTGGCCAAGTGTGTATGTAAGTACGTATGTTGAATTAAATCTTTCGATGGTGATGCATTTGTATGCACGTATGTCTTATATCAACATGGAAAATAACGAAGTGTTGTGTACAAAAGATAATTTTATGAACCAATGTGGCTGGGTTAGCGTCGAGCTTAATCTCAATTTAATTTATAATATATAATATAATTTATAATAATTTAAAGAAATATTTATTATATATTTCATTTATTAAGAAATATTTATTTATAAAAACAAACGTGAAATTTAGAAAAGCGCTGCGAATTTCTGAAATTTCTCATAAAATAAATAAATAGTAACCTCATTTGGCAACACTTCCCCTAATGCATCTCTCATAAACCTGTAATAGGGAAACACACTTCCGTAGCTCCTTGGAACTCTAAAAGGCAGTACGAGTGGGTTTCTTTCAGCTGAATCTGGTGACGAAGACGACGCGCCTCTGGTCAACCAAGATAACATTTCACTAGTATTTTAACATCCACATTTTCACAACACTTTTTTATATGTAAGTTGAATGACACGATTCTACGCAATACAAAAGGAAGGAATGAATTTATATATTGTCTTATAAAACGCGAGGGTAGACATTGTAAAAATATGACAGTAAGGATAACTCAGTATAGCTGTCACCACCGCTCTATATATTGATAAGAAGTGATTGAAGTAATATTATTAAATTACACAGGAGTTCTTATCAGTTATCAGTATGTTTGCTGGGCCATGCTCGGTGTAGATATAAGTACCTACTACTTTAAAATAACATCAAATAGGATAAACAATAATTAGATAACTATAGTCCCTAGATGCCCAATAGTTCAATTAGTTATTATGATTTTTGACAATAAACATATTTTTATCGGGATAAATAAAAACCTATAGTTCTCGGCGGTAATAAAGCTTCCACTAGTGAAAGTTTTTTGAGAATCGGATCAGTAGTTTTAGGGATTTAAACCCTACCTACATATACTTTTTCTCTTTATAACACTAACTAGCCTTACCTGCGGCTCCACCCGCGTTCAGATATAAAAAAAAAACAAATTCTTAGGCTTTACATATTAGTATAATCTTACATGGCAGTTTTTGTATTTTTTCTCAGAAATTAGATATTTTCCCGCGGTAAAAAGTCCTATATGTTGACCCGGATAACCAGCTATCACCAAACCAAATTTCATCGAAATCCCTCCAGTGATTTTTCCGTGATGCGGTACAAGACATACATACAGACAGACAGACAGACGGACGGACGGACGGACGGACAGACAGACAAAAATTCTAAAAACTATAGATCCGGCCTCTGTATCGATAATAATATCTATTACAATAAGATTTTCCAAAAAATATTTAATGTACAGATTCGACTTAGTTACAATTTTATTACATGTATAGACAGACAACACCTCCAGGTAAATTTCTAAGAAATTAATTAAATTACTAAGAAATCTATTGTTAACTGTACCGCCGGAGTGTCCGCGGTCGTTGAGGGAATATTTGTTTTGTATTAAAATTTTATGAGATTAGGTAAACTATTTTAAAACTGTCCAAAATTAGTTTATTATAGTATTAATTTTAAACGGAAAATATCTTCAGACCAAAAAAAATCGGACGTACGTGAACTTTTAGTACGAGACCATTTGTTTATATCGTTATCAATTTACTTCAACACTTAACATTTTCTTCCTACATAAATATAAAATTCAAAAATTATGTATACAATAGCGCCATCTAACGCCGAATGGTAATATCGTTACGAAAACAACTTTGGATTACACGCAGAGAAGTGCTGATAATGGTTTGTTAGTTATGCACTTTTTATATAGATGGCGTTTAGTCTATTGCATGAATGGCATTTTATAAAGAATTAACAATGCTATAAGAATCTGAGATATTATAGTTATTAATAAATCAAAAAGTTTGATGTTTTTTCGTAGTAATTAAAACTGTAAACTTCTAATAATAATTTGGTATAATGTAAATTTTAAAGTTTAGAAAGATTAGGGTCGGGGCTGTAAGAGCCTATGTCCGCGTCGCGTCGTCTAACTTTATCACGTCTATCTTTAAAAGATGGAACCTTTTGAACTGTAACTAGTTATAAATAGTAATAAAAAAAGGTCATAAGTTCAAATAGTAAATATAAAACACAAAGTTAACAAATGGATATTTATATCCCTAAAAAGAATCATATCTTTGCTTTAACTTTATCATAAAAATGAAAAAAAAATTACAAACTTAACCGTTTAACAATATATACCTATAATAAATACTGGTCATGTACAAGTCGGGATTGGCGGTATTTTTTACATATTCAAATTAATAATAATATATCAGTAATAAACGCAGTGTTGTTGACCCTATTGGCCTTTACAGCGTTTGCTTGCTTGAGGCAACCAAATTATTTTTATGTCCTTTCTGTATTTTTTCTCATCTCAAAAAAAAAATCACGAATATTTTAGTTGTGATCTATATAAAATAATGCGGTTATAATATTACATTTCAACTTAGGATTTTTTTCCATTTCAACATTGATCGCTAAAAGCTATGCTCTCGAAGGTTATGTTCGGTGGAAGTGCTCGATCTGTGTAATAACGGAAAATCGATTCCAAGCTTTCTCGAAATGGTAAAACCGGTGCACACCTCTCGACACTAAAGTCGACAACGCAGGCTATTATTAGGAGCCCATCGATGGACACCAGCATTTCCTAACATTAAATCAATTTGTGTCTATAAAGGAGTTTATACGTATAAGACCTGAATCAATAAGCTGCTGAAGAACCGAATATAAACACAAAAGATACCTAGTAGTTTGTTGTACTTGCTCACATTTAATTAATGTATCTAATCGAAGGGAGGTCGGGTCACTGTTGAGTTATTATATATATTTCTGAGATAAGTGTATCTATTTATTGTTTCATTTAAAAAAAAATTACAAACTTGTGTAAAATCTTACAAAGTTAATAATTGGTATTAATAGGTAGATACCCAATACTTTGTACAGTTTAAACCAATAATATAAATGGTGAAATGCTAATATAAATTCATTGTTAACAAGTGAGTCACGTTTTCTTATTCAAATGTCAATTGTGACTACTTGATAAGTGTTGAAACAACGACGTATACAATATAACATATCATAATATGATCAAGGAAAAGATATTTTAGATATCTGTTATACTAATAATGAAATAAATAAAACAGGCAGTATGTTTGTTTGTTCTCCATGTTTATTTCAGTTTGGATTTGAGTGAAATTTAGAAAAAAGACAACTTATATTCTATGTTAACATATAGGACTTCTACCGATGTACCTAGGCATCTATGCGATAGAATCCGCAGCCGCAGGCATAACTTAGTTTATTACTAGTTTGAACTCGCGGTTATACCTACATACATGCGACGGGTGAAAGGCTATTTGGTTTAAGCGAAATTTTCTTAACTTTACAGGAGAGCCAATTAATTGATTTTTTTTTGTTTTAAGCGAAATTTGCTTAACTTTACAGGAAAGCCAATTTAATGATTTTTTTTCAAAAAAAATCATTAAATTGGCTCTCCTGTAAGGTTAAGAAAATTTCGCTTAAACCAAATAGCCTTTCACGATTTTTTTTTCAAAAACAAATCGTTAAATTGGCTCTCCTGTAAAGTTAAGAAAAGGTCGATTAAACCAAATAGCCTTTCACCCGTCGCATGGATAAAAATAAAAATACATCTTTTAAAAAATAGATGCTCTTCATAAATACTAATAGATTATACCTACTCCTATTTATATACTTTAGTGTCATCTAAATCCATACATATAATAAAATTGTAACTAAGCCGAATCTGTACATTAAAATTTTTTTTGGAATATCTTATTGAAATAAACATTATTGTCTATACAGAGGCCGAATCTATAGTTTTTAGAATTTTTGTCTGTCTGTCTGTTTGTTACCGCATCACAGAAAAACCACTGGAGGGATTTTGATTAAATTTCGTATGATGATAACTGGTTAGACGGGTCCAACATATAGGATACTTTTTACCGCGGGAAAATGTCTAATTTTTGAGAAAAAATACAAAAACTGCAATGTAGAGTATACATATACTATACTATGTAAAACCTAAGAATTTGGTTTTTGGCCATCTGAACGCGGGCGGGAGCCGCGGGCAATGCTAATTTTCTTATATTTGTAAGATAAATTTTCTATCTCTAACTTTTTGCCTTGAACTTAATGAACCACTTCTTCATGGGAGCTTTTTTTTATTATATTTTTTTAAGCTATTTATTATTTGTAAACGTTTATTGCATGTCCCGTGTTATTTTTTGGTTTAATTTTTATAAATATTAGATAGTGATACATTTATGACAAACGTCAATTTCACGGGCTAAATTAAACAATCCTTAATTTTAGATAACACAAAGACATGCCGAGCTCGTATTGTTCTAAATATAATCGGCAAACAGTTATATGTAAGATCTACTTCAATATCTTCTCCGCCTGCACCGCACGACACTATGGTAAGCCATAATTGAAGCTTTTAGCGCAAAAGTATAAGAGCTTTTTCTTTTTCACTCAATCTATACATATAATAAAATTGTAACTAAGTGGAATCTGTACATTAAATATTTTTTGGAAAATCTAATTGAAATAGACATTATTATCGATACAAAGTCCGAATCTATAGTTTTTAGAATTTTTGTCTGTCTGTCTGTTTGTGATGCTGTATCACGAGAAAACCACTAGATAGATTTTGATGAAATTTGGTATGATGATAGCTGGTTATCCTGGTCAACATATAGGATACTTTTAACCGCGGAAAAATATCTCATTTCACAGAAACGATACAAAAACTGCATTGTAACAGCATACTAATATGTAAAACCTAAGAATTTGGTTTTTGGTCATCTGAACGCGGGCGGAGGCGCGGGCAATGCTTGCTAAAAACAATAATTCTAGACATTATGTTAAAGCGTTTTAAAATATTTTTGAAGTGAAACTTTTTTAGAATCGTTGTGATTTGAAACTCGATGCAACGGAAATGCGACAGTAAAAAGAGACAAACATATAAATATATAGGATTAAGCCGGCGATAGAATGAGATAGAATACATTGCGATGATGCCATGGTAACCGTTGTCATGGTAACCGTTGTTATTTGATAGAATACATTACACAGGAAGTGAAAAATAATAAAATTTATTACTGATTATTATGTAATGTTTATATTTATGTCAAATAAAATGTAAAATAACTTTTAAACTTGGTAAAAATAATATAAAAAAATCCTTATGATTATCCTACTCCTGATACTCTATATTCATATCATTTTCTGAAGTTTCACTTCTACGAATTTATATTTTTTTGTATAATTACTTGTGCCTACCTGCGTTTATAATTTAGAAAATATTCTGATTTTTAAATCTACAAATTATCTCTTCAGTCAGTCTCAAATAGGCAATGGACCATTTAGTCCTTGAAAAATATTTTTT